GCCTTTCGCATTTGCTCAATGAGTGAAGCTGGTGCAAGTGAATTTAAAGACGTCAGCGATCTCGTCCTCATCGTGGATCCCGATGCAAAGTCAGGTAAATGGTTATTTTCAAAAAAGCGCTCTCTAAGCTTGATACTAGGACTTACTAAGTATTATACTTATGTTAATGGTCTCTACAAGTTTTTCAGATGTCTGGGTAGAAGTCTATCATCGATCACCATTTCCCGCCCACTCTGTGAGGGGATTGAATCGAGAGTTGAAAGATGCGGAAGACCCATCGAAAAACGGATACGTGGCGTTATGGTGATTGAATAATTTTTTTCAGATCAACACTAGTCAGCATTTCTTAAAAAAAAGCAAAAGTCGGGATCGAACAAGTGAGGTCTCGCTCTAGAAACGAACGCTGTGACACTCGGCCACGGCTGCATCGAATCGGGTCTGCAAGGAGGCCGCTAATACCCAAATGATCACATTTTCAGAGTCTAACAGAGTCAGAATTCTAACAAAACTTTAGACGCTTATAGCTCCTTGCAGATTGTCATTTAGGAAAAACGGGAAATTCTGCAAAATACATAAGAAGATACCTTAAAAACTTAAGTTTACACTAAAAATAATCGTTATTAGTACAAATCGTTGACATTTATTCACAATAATGTGATATAAACAATATAAAAAAGCAAACCCTAAATGTAGGAAAACCAAGATATGGAAAAAGAACCAAGCCGTTCTTCGTCGGCAAAAAGCTAACCATCGGGATTGAACCCACTAACTAAGATCCAGGGCTCCCGGCTGATAAACTCTTAGCCAGGCTCTTAGCCAATCGGCCTTTTGCGCCCCTGTTTAACTTATAATATATGTTGCCTGTTGAACGATAAAAGCCGGATAGATAGATTGATTCTTGCGAAATTCTTTGAATCGTCTTTGCTCGGTTTCATTGAAAGTTAGCCAATATTTTGCGATCAATCCATTGAAAGTCCACTGGAGTCCATTGGAGTTCGCATTCGACAAAATAGCCGTTTCTTTAAAGAAATTTTGTAGTTTTCATTTGCCTTTTGATTTTTGCGCTCGGAAACACACCTTTTCTGCTGTACTTACTTTATTTTCTAACTTTTCCCACTCTGCTACAAGAAAAAGCAAAAGGTTTCTTTCCACTTTTTGAGCACAAAGTACAGAAAAAACAGTTGGTTGAGTAAATTTGCGCTTAAAAGTTACTGGATCAGTTCAAACTAGAGTATGCGTCTTGTAAAATGCGCCACAAACCACCGTAATCCCGTCTTACATCCATTTTTAACTAATCTATCATAATTAGATACAAAGTAAATAGATTAGATAAAAAATAGAGCAGGATTGCGATAATCGAGAATCGATTACGACATGTTTTAGAATCGATTACGACAAGATGTGACCGAGAGAAGAGGATTTTAAGTTAATTTGGCTGAAGTACTCGTTTTCTTCCAGTTTAAGCTTTTCAACAAAGCTTAAACGATTAACTACAGGACTGGCTGAGCCGGCCAAATGCTATTTGAAAAATCGCAAAAGGAAATCCAAAGTGGGAATCGAACTTGCGAGGTGTCGCTCTGGAAACGAACGCTGTACCACTCGGCCACGGCCGCACCGAGGGCCCGCGAGGAGGCCGTTAAGACCCAAATGACCACATTCCCAACAGAGTCCTAACAAAACAGTCAGTTGACTTTTCCTTGTATGTTTGGCAAATGAACCGGGACAATCTTAGAAACAAATAAATGCGTTTAACGGGCTTTGTTTCAACTTAAAGCTAGTGGTTTAAATAAGTATCGAACGGTAATAGCTAAAAGTTCATTTTATAGGTACGATGGTGAAGGTAAAGCGTTTTTCGGTCGAGCCGAAAATCGAGGCGGCTACGTGGAAGCGTGGTTTCCGAAAGAGACGACGAAAAGAACGAACTGGATCCTCTGGCCAGTGTATGCTCAAACGAGAGGCGAATGGAGGAGCAACGATTTGCTGACGGGGAAATTTCAAATTCTCACCAATCCAAGCAACGTCGTTTATCGATGGGTTCGACCTTATCAGTTGGATGATCCGAGAAACGTCTTGATCTCGTTCCAGGCAGGGATTTCTCAATTTTTCTAGAACCACTTTTTGATTTGAAGCTGGAGCGGAATTTTTGAAGGAAAAAGCAAAAGAATTGGCACCGAGAGGAGTCGAACCCGCGACCTCGTTCTTCCGTTCGTTTAAGAGACACGCGCGTTAACCACTCGGCCATGCTCTACTAGATGGCGCAGTGCGAGCGAGCGCCCTTGTCTTTGTCCCACGCGACCCGGGTTCGACTCCCGCCCGCGTCGGCACTTTTGGTTTTTTAAAAATTTAAAAACATGTTGCACATGGAATTCTAAGTCAAACTAACTATAAGCTATTTGAGAAGGCCCACTAAACAGACAGACACAGCTTTATATATAGTAGATACGATCGTCTGGTTTCTTGACTATGGATTCTGATTTCTTTCTGTCTTTTTGAAATAGCTCCGGTTTCAGGGAATGTGCCCAGCTGTTGTAATGACTGCTGGGAGAGAGCTTTTGGGAATGGCCCAGCCGGCAAACTCTCGAGCATGGACAACATATAAAAATAAGAAATCTCTACATGAAGGCTCAGAGTTTAACGAATGCTATGTACTAGTTCGAAATCCTTGAAGAGTGCTTGTTGGGTAAAGCTTTAGACAAGACTTATCCAAAGTTGCCAACCGAATACAAACTATTAAATAAACTGTTTTTTAAATTGAGACTAATTCTCAACACACAGTGAAGTTGAAAGCAAGTTATGAAAAGTATTTTTTTTTGAAACCAAACACTTCATCGACATCCTAATTTGCAATCTTTTCCCAGAAGTTTCCTTTGTTTTTTTGCACCCAAGGTTGTCTTGTCCCTTTCTACTTCTGGTCCCATCAAAAATCTTTCGAGGATTGAATTAAGGGAGTCACCTTTCCTCATCCTCTCCTTTCACAGAAAGCTTTTATTCTCTTCTTCCCCCCTCCAAAAGTTTAAAATGAGCTCCAGGCATTGGGCTCCAGCTCCAGCTCCAGATCCAAAATGAGCTCCAGGTATTAACCGATTTCTCGCACATCTTTTTGTCTCTTCTTTTTCAGATCCATTGATGAGAGTTAAAGGGTGGTATCATTTTGGGAATAGATAAGGGTAAAAATAGATGTAAAAGGAGTTGAAAGTGAATCACTAAAGCATTTTGGTGAATTCAAACACGATAGATGTTTGAATTTTAGAAAAAAGTTAACTCAAGGATAAGCAAAGATGTTGTAAATGATTATTTTTCCATGTTTTTATCCATGGCTATTGTTCAGCAGTAATTTTTGATGTCTGTGTCTATTTCTTTCGTATTATTTGTCATAATTTATTCAGTTAAAATTGTGATTTCGAAAAAATCGAAAATCCTCCTGATAAAGCGTTATGAGATCCTTCATTTTTTGAGGATTCTCTCTGACTTCTTTCACCAAATTCTCCTTTTAATCTTTTTTTTTGTTGGCTGGCGTTTAGAGTCGTCGAATGCAATAAACATCTGTTCACAGTTCACATTTGACAGTTATTGAAAAATATATTAAAAGCAAAAGTTGGCACTGGCCACTTTTTTTGACATCTGTTTGTTTTAAGACCAGCGTTTCAGCGATTTGCTTCAAAAATTCAGTTTCAATCCTAATTTCAATTTCAATCAATGTCTAAAACTATTGGACTTAATAAAAACCATATAACGAAAAAATATCGCACTTTTTTGTGTTAAATAACTTTTTAGAAAGAAAATAAAAATAATGGAAAATCAGAAAGTTATGAATTTTTCTATGGTCGTAATCCCACTTTTCATTTTTTTAGAGTAATTCAATCGTAACTTTTATTCTATTTGACCGATTCGAATGAAATAACTACCAAAATGTAGCTCTCGATGGGTTCTAACAATATCTGAAAGAAAATTGGCAAAAGGAATAGAGATGAGAAAGCAGTAGCTCAAATTAAAAAATGACTTTTTTAATTTTTAACTTTTTGAAAAAGTGACTTAAAACATTCTGAAATCCTACCATCTTTATTCCTCTGATTACACGGATTTTCTGGCTGAAAGGAAATAGTTGCTTTTATGTGAAACTGTAATTGCTTGAGAAATTTGGCTCTTTCTTGGATTGTTTTTTTGAAAAATCAAAACACAACCTTTCTAACATGTACTGTGAGAAAGAGTTCTTTGACTTTGAAGAGTTCAATACGCTAGAAAGCTTGTGTTTAAGTCTGGAGTTTAAGTCAGACATTAGACGAATTGTCAATGATTGAGGATAGCTTCGTTTTTTGGAACTTTTCGGTAACCTTCATTAGCTGTAGTATACACGTCTTGCTTTTAGACTACTTAACCTTACTGGAAGAGAAAATCAACACAAAAAGTTAAAAAAAACAATGACAAGATTGAAATCTCTTACTTGTCCGTCACCCAGCAAACTTTATTGCCGACAATATTGAATTCTTTCAAAGAAATGTATCGCTGCAGCTCTTTATCTTCGGATGAACAAGCAACAACTTTATGGTCAATAATACCAGCAGACATTTTTGTGTAATCGCATTTTTCCTAAAGCCACAGCTATTTTTGTCTCTTTTTCGTTGAATCGGCATCTCCAGGAAGTGAATTGGTGATTACCCTTTAAAAACGCATGCGGTTGCTAGATTTTATTGATCACTAACTTTAAATTACAAAATTAGATACATTCTATTTTTAAGTTTTGAAACAATTTCATTTTATGAGAATTCTTTTATAGTGCCCTTTCCAAAAAAAATGCGATGTCGCAAAAGCTACCGTAGTCGCTACGCGTCTGTACAAGTTGCGTCGCGTAGCTGGAGCAAACATTTTCTCATTTTTCTTTTCCGTTTTTGATTTTTACGCACTAAAATGCTTTCCATGGTCGATTTCTTTCTTGTTTTGAATGTTTTTGGGAAATTCTTAATCTTTTGTGGTTTAGATATCGAACAGGGGCATCAGAAGCCATGAAGGTCGAAACGTGCTGCTATTCAGGCTACAAGATCTACCCCGGACATGGTAAACGGGCGGTCAAAGTGGACGGAAAGGTAGACTTGCTTTTTATCTGATCTTTTAATTACTTTGTTGAATTGATTAGTTTAGAGGGAAGTTAGTTTCGTGCAACATTCCTTGAAAATTTTGTGATTAAACGTGTATTTTATGAAAACAGCTATCATTTTAGCATAAAACGCATCCGATAACAAATGCTATAAAGAACCCGAATTTGTTTGTTAATTAACTCTGAGGAATGTTACTTTAAGGAAGAACTAGCTTATAAAACTTAAATTCACGTAATCTTTAGCATTTATTATCTGGTGAGCAACTTGTTAGCAAAGCGCATTATTTATTGTTTTATATTTCAGGTCCAAATCTTCCTCAATGCCAAATCGGCGAAAGGAACAGCGTTGAAGCGAAACCCACGTGAAATCACCTGGACGGTCCTCTACAGGCGAAAGAACAGAAAGGTACTGATTTAAACTTTTACTCCTAGACTCTTTAAAGTGTAGCTGAGTCACAAGTAGAGCACAGTAAAGCAAAATATTGACGTATTGACGTGATGTCTTTTCAATGCAATATCTTTTTGTTTAGGGAGTTCACGGTGAGGAGAGCCATTTGAAGAAGAAGACCAGAAAAGTGGCCCAAACATTGACGCGTGGTATCGGAAATCTCACACTTGACGCCCTTCTTGCTAAGCGCAACCAGAAGCCCGAATTCCGTAAAGCTCAACGCGAACAAGCCATCAAGGAAGCTAAGGAAGCCGCTGCTAAGAAGAAGACCGCTAACAAGGTATCTATTTAATTAATGCTGTAGCCGTGATCTTTTAAACTGCTTAACTAATGTGCTATCGAACGAAATGAAACTAATCAGAGCTCCTAAGTTCTTCTTGCTCTCTTAAGAATTTATTTTAGGAAAAGAAAGCCGCTCAACCAAAAGTTGTTCAACAGAAGGCCGCCAAGAGTGTTAAGACTGCAGCACCCCGTGTCGGAGGAAAACGTTAAACTTTTTTTGTTGTTGAAATAAATATTGTTTGATTTTTGTTAAAACCTGCTCTATTGGTATATTCCCTCGTTCTAATAAATTTCATGAACATTTCAACTTTTTAAAAGAAGCCAATGACGGAGAAACGAGAAGACTGAGATGGGGGTTTTGGGTGTTTGCTTATTCAAAGAAAATCTGTCTGACGATGATGTTTCTGTTATAACTAGTATAGAGATACACATTTCCTTGAAATGTAGTTGTTTTGGTCAAATTTGAATGAAATATTTTGCAGATAATGGCAGTAAAACAAGGGAAGCGTGGAGGAGCCAGGAAGGTACTGTTCTCTCATAAGTGTTCTTAAATATTGTATTGTTAGCCTCATGGTGGCGGCAAAAAAGAAGGGCCAGCCCAGTCAACAGGAGCGTCGTAAAGTTGTGAAGCAGCAACATAAACAGCAGTTGATGGTTTGGTGGTTTCTCTGAAATGTGCCAATTTATTTTTAGACCGTCCTTAAAAGCAAGGTCAAAGATGAGCTGGAAAAGTTATCGACGTTGGATAAGCCAGTACAAAGCCCAACCAACTCGGAAAGCAGTTTTGGATCGGCACCTTTGCGCAAGGCTTTTCCCAAAAGAGGGTATTTTACAGTATTCCTACGCTGACTAGTTTTTTATTTAGGTTTCCTTTGCAAACAAAGTGCAAAGTAAAGAGTTTCACATCAGCGACTTAATCAACACTTCGACATCAGAGGCTTCCCCAGGAAGAAGTATTTTGACACCAAAAAGAGGAGCAAAATTGGTAAGAATAATGATGAATGCTATGCACTGCTTAATTTAGAGTCTGCCGAAGAAGGAGCTTGTTGTTGAAAAGCACGTCGAAGAAACAGTAAAGGTGGTGGAAAAGAAACCCGAACTAGTGGAAGAAAAGCCGTCAAAACTCGCCGGAAAGTCTCAACCTACAACATTTGGAAACAGAGTTGTGAAGAAGAAAGAGGCGGTTAAGGTAGATATTTTCTGCTTTAATCAACTATAGAAAGGCCTAGATGCTCATAGATCGAATAAACATAATTACAATTAAATACCTTCTTAGCAAAGTAAATTTTTGTATTTAGGTGACGAAAAAAGTGAAAGAACAACTGCTGTTGATGCCTCGCAAAGAACGCAAAGCCTTCCTCGTCGAACTTCGAAAGAAACAAAAGCCAAATTTTACACTTGCTGCTGAATGCAAAACGTTGTGGGAACAAGCACGGATGTAATTTTTTAAAACTAGCATACTTTCGAATTTTTGCTTGTTGTAAATATTTGACGAACAAGTATGATTTGTTTATGTTTAGGGGAAAGACGCCTCAAGCTAAAAAGGATGAGCTCATTAAGGATCTGGTCGGGAAAGTCAAGGTTTCTTTTTTATTTTGTTTAGCACACCTCTACTTTGTTATAGGGACATGCCAAGGAGTTAATCTACGCCCATGATATGTCACGAGTGTTTCAATTTTTGCTGAAACTTGAGCGTGAAGGTTAGTTACTTTAACACAACTCGAAACTTTGATTTTAGGCATTACATCGATGCTTTTTGATGAGTTAAACGCAGAAATTATTCGAATGTCAAAGAGTATGTACGCTCGGCATTTTGTACGCAGAATGCTCAAATATGGGTTTGTCTTTAATGCATAATTACTAAATTAATCATTTTTAGGACAAAGCTACAAAAACAGATCATTATTGAAGCCTTCAAGGGACACGCAGTTTCTATGCTTGCAAATATCTACTCAGCAGACGTATTTACTTTTTTAAAACGTGAATTAAAATTGTTTTAGATCTTGGAATCCGTATACAATGAATATGCGGACGCTCAGCAACGTTTTAATATAATCACCGAGTTCTACGGACAGGAATTTGTCGTCTTTAGGGTTTGTACCATTCGATTACAAACATTTCGTTATCATTTAGATCGACACCATCAAAACATTGGATGAGATTCTTGCCGATGAACCGGGGAAACGACAAATGATTATGAAACATCTCGAAGAAATTCTGCTTGAGAAGTGTACAAACAAGTAAGTTTTGTGATAGGTTAAACCTCAAGCGCTTATTCAGAGTCACACTTCGGCATTCACTTGTCCACAAGCTCTTGTTTGATCTTCTTGAGCACGGAGATAAAGAGCAAAAGTCTAATCTTTTGGATTCAATCAAAGATAAGGTAATGTTTTATTATTTTAACTGGATTAGTGTTGAATTTAGATTCCGGAGATCGTTCATACTCCATACGGGGCTCGAGTGGCGATGCGTTGTGTATGGCTTGCTGATGCAAAGGACCGAAAAGTTTAATAGAGATCTTGTTTTGATAAAAACATTAACTTTAGCTTATCGTCAAGAATTTTAAGGACTTGTCGGAAAAGGCGGCTATGGAAAAGAATGGGCAAAGAGTTAGAAAACAAAGTTTTGTTATTTAGTTGTATGTTTAGGTGTTGTGGGCAATTTTCGATCAGGTTGATGACACCGTTCTCATCAACAAATTTATAACATCGGTAGGCTTTATAGAAAAAATTTTAATAAAAATTTTTTAGGAAATTGCGAACAATGTTGGAAAGCTGTTGGAAGATCGTTGGGGATGTCTGTGCTTGGAATACATGGTACATCCACGTGATGGTCGATCAATGGATTACAATGTTCGTGCTTAATCTTTGCGCCATTATCATTCTTTTCAGGTCATAAAGGAACTTGAGCTTGGCGATAAAAATACAGTCTCTAAGAAGGACAAGAAGGATAGGTTTGAGTCTAAGTGCATAAAGAAAAAATATATTTATTTAGGTATTCGGAGATTTTCTTGCATTTGATCGAGCCACTCTTGACATATTTTGCCGCAAACATGCGAAGTGCATTGATGGGTGACATGTCGGCCCTCACTTCTCACGTTCTTCACAAAGCTTTGGAGCTACAGAGTGAGTTTGAATCTTAAAGGAATAGAAATCACCTTTTTAGTTGGTCGCGACTTTTTTGAGAGAAAAGTCGACTCTCAGCTCCGGATCAACTGCTACGAAGCGATCGCAGATGTGGCGGCTGTTGACTTCATTCCTATGGACCCGAATGGATATCATCTAGTGACTTAATTTAATTTATTGCTTTAAGATTTGTTTAGATTGAGTCTCGTGCTGGTGGATGGGTGACTGGACAGCTTCTACGACAAGACTCAAAACTTCCAGAAGAGGAACGTTTGGCTGTGCAAATTGTCAAGCGAGTTCCCGAGGAATTCCTTGCCAATTGGGTTGGCTGCAATAAGGTTGGTGGAATTTGAACTAAAAATATGCTTTTTTTTAGGGGTGTTTTGCTCTTTTGCGTATGTGGGAGAACGGTGGAGTGGCTGTACAGACACATATCAAGAAAATTGTGGATGTTGACAGACTTGATAAGTAGGATTATTTTATGATTGTTAAAAACATCTTGCTGTAAATAGCTGTCAACAAAAACATTAAATTTTAGATATTCAATGGTTGGTGCTCGTCTCCTTAAAGAAGCGGTTACCGGAATCAAATCTGCCCCTCGACCTAAAGCTTCCGATGCAGACAATGTGAAGCTATCAGATTTTATTTATCTAGTTTTATGTTTTAGGCTGAACTTTCTGGAAGCGAGACTGAAAGTGCTGGAGAGGTGATTGATTTCTTTAAAATAAAGTTATTTAAATGCTTTAGAACGAACTACGTGATGAAGACGATCAAAGCGAAGAGGAGATGGATTTCGACGAATAAAGTTGGATCTAATAACTCAATTTTGCCATTGTTTTACTCTTTTTTTTAAAATTTTAGCTTCCCGAGTTGTTCCTTGTTGACTGTTTGTTATTTCGACTTACGGGTTTTTGTCACGTTAGTTGTTACACATTGTTTGTTGAGAATAAAGAGTTTATGTTTATGTTTGCAGTATATGGAGTTTGGAAAAGCAAGCACATCTGATGATTTCTGTCAGATGGGGCGCGTCTCAAATTCAATAGCGCAACTATCGATTTTGTATCTTTATCATTTTAATCTCTCCGATTGTTTCATGTTTCCGCGGGCATCGTTCGATCGCTTATCAGATTTTCCGAGAGACAAAAAAGAGGTTCCAGAATCATCACACTCTCGAAAAATCGATAGAATTTGAGATTTTTTCTAGTTTTGTAAACTTTCAATAGGCCTTTAGCAAGAAATAAGATTTTTATCTTTGTCTACTACTTGATCCCTTCAAGGTCATCCAAGGGTCAGCAGTCTACTTGATTCGATTGGATGCGCCAATGTTTGTAGGATAATTTTGTTAACTGTTGTATATTTTTATACAAACATTACGAACTTTATCAATTGAATTCTGCCATATTGACTTTACCAACCAAACTGCCATATCTCATCTTTCTGGCGGTGGTGTGATTTTCGCCAGCACATCGATCACTGTTCAATCTGCGCTCATTTGCAAATTCGTGCCTGTAAACGGATTAGACTTGCTTTTCGGATGATCCAAAAAGCCAACTTTTAGGATTGGATCATCCAAAAATTTTAGTTTTTGGATTCGGAGCCGACCGGTTCTCCAAAAGTTTTCTTTGAAGATTTCTGGAACAAATCCGAAAATTCGAAGACTATCAAGCATAAGGCATCGGAAGTTTCCCAAATTCCCGCTTGTTACTTTAGATTTTACATAAAGTCCCGCTAACGTTTTTACTTTATCGTTGTTTCACAAAAGTATAAGCAACAATTTGTGTAGGGGTTAACGTGAAAGTGGCCCGCCCGCCCTTTTTGCTGTGCTGAATCGATCAAAGGGCGAATTATTTGTGAACGGGGTCAAGGCACACCCCTTTCCTCCTTTGCCTGTCTGTTACTGCTGTCATTGTTTTTATTCACTATATTCACTTGCGTTCATATTCTACAAATTGTAAAGATCTGATTCTATAGCAGATCAGCAAAAAAAGGTTTTAAGGCTAGACTTTAGGGAAAGCAACAAAGTCTCCGTAGTTTGTGGACTGATCAAAGGGGAATCTTCTTCTTTTCCTTGCCGCTCTTTTGCCCTTTGCAACAATGACTCTAGACGTTTTTAAAAGAAAAACTCCAATTGATATAAGTTCAGCTTTTTGGGCATTAGAATTTTCAATGCAATGACAGTTCTATTTTTATTGATATCTTAAAAATCTCAGCTGTTTTCAATCTAAAATCCGTTTTACTTTCAAAACACAATGATGGATTTGGGCAGGTTTTAAATGTACTTGAAAGAGTATAATGCACGGTAAATTGCCCGATTCTCAATTTTAAAAAGCCCTCTCATTTTGCTATTGATTAGTTGATCATTGAAATGAAAAATAGCAAATTTGTTATTTGTTATCTTTACTTAACACTCACATTAACATCTAAAATATTTTCTACTTTTATTCATTTTCCATTGTTCATTCATTTATTCATTTTCTATTTTCCTATTTTTCTTCTTGTTTGCTCATCTTTTGCCATTTTTGTGTAATTGTCCATCCATTCAATTGTATTGAAGTATTGGTTTTTTTTACTACTAAACTTTTTTTTGCAAACTAAACTCATCGTAAATTTTCCAGGAAAAGAAATGGCTTTCTCCAACTTGGTCACCGATTTACCCGTCAAGGGGAAAACGTACAAATTCTACGATTTGACCGCATTGAACGATCCGAGATATGGTAAATTTACAATAAAAAGCTTTTTACTATTCTTTAACTGACAAAATTTTAAATTTCAAATCATTCTAATTCTAGAAAAACTCCCAATCTCCATTCGTTACCTTCTCGAGGCGGCCGTTCGCTATTGTGATGATTTTCATGTGAAAAAGGTAAAACATTTAAATATTTGAAATAATTAGTTGATCATTTGATGAAAATCTAATAAAACCTGATTCCAGGCCGATGTTGAAACGATTCTGAACTGGGAAGAGATGCAAACGGCTCAAGCCGAGATTCCGTTCAAACCGGCGCGTGTCATTCTCCAGGATTTTACGTGAGTTTCAAGACATAAAAAGTAAATTTGAATTTGTTATAAAATAAAACTAAAACCTTGAAATACACATTTTTTTTTGTTTCATTTCTTTCCGTTCACATTTCTATTAGTTGTGAAATTCAAGTAAACCTTTGATATAGCGTTTTTTTTCAATTTCTATAGCTCTTTTAGCGTTTAAAACTTGAAATTCTTTGAGGCAAGTTATGTGTTTTTACTTTAAAAGAACCAATTACTTGAGAAAATAGAATAGTTAACATCACGGCTGTTTCTAGAGTCGATTTTTAGGCCAACCCAAATCAAGGCCAAGGTTTCAGGCCTAATTCAATAGCAATTAGTCGAATTCAATAGCATGGTTGTATTGACTGGCTTTTGTTGGCTTTTGGAAAAAACAGGGTTAAAATTGTTATATTTTTATCAATTTCCAGCGGAGTACCAGCTGTGGTCGATCTAGCCGCCATGAGAGACGCTGTGCAACAAATGGGAGCCGATCCAGCGAAGATCAACCCGGTTTGCCCGGTCGATCTTGTCATTGATCATTCCGTTCAAGTTGATGCTTATGGAAGGCAAGAATAAATAAGACAATCTTCAATACTTGAACGTATTTGTTGCCATTTCGAAAATTTCAGTCTTGACGCTCTTGCGAAGAATCAAGCGATCGAATTCGAGCGAAACAAGGAACGCTTCAATTTCTTGAAGGTACAAAATTGGAAACAAGCTATATAGAAAATCTATCAATAGATTTGCTATTTATTTGATAAATTTCGTTATTTAATATTGATAGATTGATCAAAATTCTCAGCTAACAATTTAGCTCAATGAAATCGATTTCAGTGGGGCTCAAAAGCTTTCGATAATCTCCTCATCGTTCCTCCTGGATCGGGAATCGTTCATCAAGTGAATCTCGAGTATTTGGCGAGAACCGTTTTTGCGGACAAGGTAAAATAAAGATAATATAAAAGAAATTCAAGGGAATATTTTTAAAGCCTTTGAACTAGTTGATAAGGAAATCTCAACTGAATGTAGTAGCCAAATGACATGTGCCATAGACAATTCGATGACGCTGAATCCGAATCTGCTTTCCGTTTCTGATATGGAGCACTCTGTCAATAGTTATAAGCGCTCAAAGTTTTGTATGGGATTTTTGTAAAAAAACACCCTGAGTTTATAAGCAGATTTTCTCGGGGGTCGTGGGGAGCAGTGGTGGCCGAGTGGCAGTGGGTTAGATTACAAGGTGAAAGCACCCCTATGGCCCTAGTTCGAGTCCTCCGCTCGAGTCTTTTGCTTCTTGGGGTTGCAAAGTTAAGTGGTCTCTGTTTCAAATACAGGTTTATTTTAAAATAGTCTTCATATAAATGTTTACTTTTATTAACATTTATTAATGTATTAACATGAAAAATGTCGCCACATCCAGTTGAGTTTACAAACGGAATTCGAGTTTTTCTTATGTGTTTGATATTGAAATTGATAATGTAAATTGATTTCGATTTTCAGGATAATATTCTCTATCCGGATTCGGTTGTTGGCACTGATTCACACACGACGATGATTGACGGATGCGGTGTTTTGGGATGGGGAGTCGGTGGAATTGAGGCCGAAGCGGTCATGTTGGGACAGCCGATTTCAATGGTTTATTTATGCGATAAGATTGAATAAAGATTGTAGAACATTTAGCTAATCTTAAGCTTCAACACTTTTAATCAAAAATTGCTTTATCAGGTTATCCCCGAGGTGGTCGGATATGAGCTGACCGGCACTCTTCCATCAGTCGCCACAAGCACTGATCTCGTTCTCACAATCACTAAGGTAAAAGGAAAGAAAGAGAAATTGAGTTTCTTCAATTTAAAATCACTTTTCAGAACCTTCGTGATCTTGGTGTCGTCGGGAAATTCGTCGAGTTCTTTGGCGAGGGATGCGCCTCATTGTCGATCGCTGATCGGTAAGAAAAAGATATATATTAAGTCCAAATCCGAATTCATCTCTTTTCAATTAACCATTAACCAACCAAGCTTCCATTGAAAGCTCAATCAACAATTAACCAACCAAGTTTTCATTGGAAACATTAGAAACGTTGGTTTTAGTTGACTTTTAATAAGCTTTCTTGCAATCTGAAGCCATTATTATTTGAATCATTATTTGAGGCGTTATTTGAGAAGCCAAAAAGCAATTTTGTACACGGTATGCCGAAATCTTCTCACAAAACTTTAATAAAAGCTTTTGAAATAGCAAATATGTGAACGGATTTCTTTACACTGGATGCGGCTGGCTCAGACTGGCTCAGAACTGGCTCAGACTGGCTCAGACTGGCTTAGACTGGCTTAGACTGGCTCAGACTGGCTCAGACTGGCTCAGACTGGCTCAGACTGGCTTAGACTGGCTCAGACTGGCTCAGAACTGGCTTAGACTGGCTCAGACTGGCTTAGACTGGCTCAGACTGGCTCAGAACTGGCTCAGACGTCCGAATCTGTTCTTTGGATCGAATCCGATGCAAGCTGTATTTAAATTGATGCAAATATGGGCTTAGTACATAGTACTGGTTTGTACTGTATATTCTATAAAAGTCTAGCTCTATCTTAGTTTTATGACTTTATAGCAAAAAGGATTTATCGATTTGTTTCAATACTATGCACAGTATGGACCAGTACCAAGTACTACGGGCCAATATTATGTAAAGTACGTAGTACTATGTACAGTGCTACAGGGCAATATTATAGAATTAGCATATTTCATCAATTTAAATACAGCTTGCATCGGATTCGAGCTAAAGGACAGATTCGGACGACTGAGCCAGTTCTGAGCCAGTCTGAGCTAGTCTGAGCCAGTCTGAGCCAGTTCTGAGTCAGTCTAAGCCAGTCTGAGCCACTCTAAGCCAGTCTGAGCCAGTTCTGAGCCAGTTCTGAGCCAGTCTAAGCCAGTCTGAGCCACTCTAAGCCCGTCTGAGCCAGTTCTGAGCCAGTCTAAGCTAGTCTGAGCCAGTCTAAGCCAGTCTGAGCCAGTTCTGAGCCAGTTCTTAGCCAGTCTAAGCTAGTCTGAGCCAGTCTAAGCCAGTCTAAGCCAGTCTGAGCCAGTCTAAGCCCGAAGTCCGAATCTGGTTCGGAGGCTGCACCAGATTCAGACGTCACTTCTATATCATTTAGAGATATAAATCTAAATTCCGAACTATATTTCACCATATTATATGCATTTTTTAATGATTAAAACCATCGAAACGATTAAAACGTTTAAAGAACGAGATTTCAGTGCCACTATTGCGAACATGTGCCCAGAGTACGGAGCCACCGTCGGTTTCTTCCCGGTCGATAAGAGAACGATTGAGTGAGTGAAAGGATGAAGAAAAAAAAGGATTGCATAACGGTGAAGCAATTTCTAAAAATTGTATAGTTATCTGCATCAAACTGGCCGCGAAGAGGAGATGATCACCCGCACTGAGGCCTATCTCCGCGCCAATAACCTCTTCGTCGATTACGCGGATCCGAATTTCCGTCCTAACTACACAACGGTTTTTGAAATTGGTGTAGTTCGTTTCATTTTCAGATTTAGGTTTTGAAATTGGATCTTTCGACGATTGTTCCCTGTGTCTCGGGACCGAAAAGACCGCATGACAGAGTCGATCTTGACAAATTGCATAAAGAGTTTAACGAGGGTTTGGGAGCGAAGATCTCGTTCAAAGTGAGTGGGAAAAACTTGGGGAAGTTTAGAAAGCACAAAGAAAACACAAAGAAAATAAAAAAGACTTTTAAAAGAGAAAAATCTAGACTTTCCCTAGTAAGGACTTCCTAGTAAGCGTTTATAACGTAGGACGCTTACTAGGGTTCTAGTAGGGCGCTTACTAGAACCCTAGTAAGCGTTTATAACGGCTACCTTAGCAACAACCTCTAGCTATATAACTCTCTCAGCTAGATGACTCGCTTCTCACTCAGCAAACAGCAAACGCTCGGTGGTGCAGTGGTAGTAAAAGCAGTTCTTGGCAGCCTCTCGTTCTTAGCAGCCGCTCAGCTATATGACTGAGAGAGTCATATAGCTGAGAGAGTTCGATCCTTCTTGAATCAATCTTTTACATTTTTACATTTAATGGCGCAATTACACTAAGCTGGCGCAATTGACGCTAAGCTAAGGGAATTGAGGCTAAGCTGACGCTAAGCTAACACAATTGACGCAATGTTTTAAGCAATAAAGTTGTTTTTTAAGTAGCTTTAAGTATCTTTGAGTATCTTTGAGTAGCTTTGAGTAGCTTCGATTCCATTCTTTTGCAAATATTGCAAAGATGAGAAGAAAAAAAATAGCAAAAACAATGACACGCGTGGGAGTCGAAACCGACTAGCAAATGAAAGTGTGAATCAGGGGCGCTACCATTGTCCCACCTTGACGCTACAATGCTCCGACAAAGGCAACCATTATATACCTTGAAACCGCTCAGTGCACTAGGGAGTCAAATTTCAAATCTAGACTTCAAAGCTAGACAAATCTAGCGTTCTAGACTACAGAAATCTAGAGCGTTTATGCAAAAGCTAAAAACACCATCGTGTTGCCCGTGTCCGACTTGCTTAAGTCATCTAGCTTTGGTTCTTCAGGGCTTGCGAAAGTCATATAGCTTTGGTTCGTCAGGGCCTACGAAAGTCATCTAGCTTTGGTTCTTCAGGGCCTATGAAAGTCCTCTAGCTTTGGTTCTTCAGGCCTGCGAAAGTCATCTAGCTTTGGTTCGTAAGCGCTTGCGAAATCTGATTGTTCCCTAGTTTGGTTAAAAAAGCCAATGAAATATCGATTAATAGAGATTAGAACTTTTGAAGAACTTAATTATTATACATTCAGTTGTCAAGGCTAAATATTTAGCTAAATCCTGAATGAGAATTGAACAATGATAAAAGAAACTGATCAGGACTTTGCTTTTTTAGTCAAAGATCAAGAACCAAAGTGTTAGCTCAGAATCTAATGCTTTCAATTGTGATTTTGAATTTATTTAATCGCTAAGCATTTAGGGTTTTGGCTTGAAACCGGAAGAAATCTCGAAATCGGTGAAAATCTCCGTTGACGGTCATGACACTCATTTGGAGCACGGATCGGTTGTGATCTCAGCGATCACCTCGTGCACAAACACGTCCAATCCATCGGTGATGCTAGCGGCTGGATTGGTGGCAAGAAAGGTAAGGGGTTTTTGTTTTGTTAAAAGTTAAATATCTGGAGTTTGTATCGTTTTAAAACCTCAACGCTCTTAGGCTATTAAAGCCGATTTAGGCTATCAAAGTCTCGATTTAGGCTATAAAAATCTTGATTTAGGCTATCAAAGGCTCGATTTAGACTATCAAAGCCGATTTAGGCTATCAAAGTCTCGATTTAGGCTATCAAAGCCGGTCTCAAAGTTCCATCATTTGTGAAAACGTCACTCTCGCCGGGTTCCGGAGTTGTCACCAAGTAAGTTCAGCATTCAAATGCAAATACGCAAACCTTTTAGATACCTGGAAGCATCGGGTCTTTTACCTGATCTGCAAAAGCTTGGGTATCACATCGCTGGTTATGGCTGCATGACATGCATCGGAAATTCGGGACCACTGCACGAGGCGGTTTCAGCCGCCATTGAAGAGGTTAGAAGTTAGATTCGGTGAACTTTTTCTTGCTAATACGAGTGCTTCTGAAGAGCTGGGTATTTCCTTCTCTCTCTTTCTTCTTCCTTCTTTCTCTTGGCAAGTTAAGGTACCGGATAGATCAGTGGAGAGCATCTAGCCGATCAGAAGATCGAGGGTTCTCCCTCTCTGGAAATCTAGTTTTTCCTTTACTTCCTTATCCTTTACTTCCTTATCCTTTATTTCCTTATCCTTTACCTCTTGATCATCCAAACCCTCACTTCCAGAACAATCTGGTCGTCTCGGGCGTGCTCTCTGGCAATCGGAACTTCGAGGGTCGTATCCATCCGCTTGTTCGCGCCAATTACCTTGCTTCTCCACCATTAGTTGTCGTTTATGGATTAGCGGGAAATGTGAACAAAGATATCTTCAATGAACCGATTGGGCACAATGAACAAGGGAATGCGGTCTATTTCAAAGATATCTGGCCAAGCAGAGATGAGGTGAGATGGGGATAAGCTAAATTCTTGGTGGCATTGAATCAAAACTAGATTCCTGATTGCGGATAGCAATAAAACATTTCCTGATAGCAATAAAACATTTCCGAAAATTGGGGAAACGATGGATGATGGAAATTCGAATCTTTTGAACTAAAAGGGGAAAGATTTGGAAGTACCAAAGTAATAAAGTACCAAAGTACTGGATTGATTGGTAGTACGAAGCACTAAGTAGTACGAAGTACGAAAGTACGAAAGTAAATAAAGGATTCAGTACAATAGTATATTGTAGTATTGTTTTAAAAGAACTTCTTTTCAGATCGCTGAATTCGAAGAGAAATACGTGATGCCTCAATTCTTTAAAGAAGTCTACGAAACGGTGGAAACCGGATCACCCGAATGGCAACAATTAGAAACACCACAAGTTCGTTGAAAACTGCAAACATTTTCATTCTATCAAATTCTAATACTTTAACTATTCCAATAGAACTATAAACTTCAATTTTGGTAACTTTTACCTTATCCGGGTTTCCCTTAAAGTTTATCGAGTTGAAGATTCTCAATGAAACAAAATTCTTGACAACTGAGTCATTTTCAACCTTTAATATCACAAAATTAAACTTAAAATAGAATAATTAGTATTTTTGTCTAGCTTTGTTAGTACAATAGCTTTGTTAGTACGATAGCTTTGTTAGCTTTGTTAGTATTATATCTTTTGAATCTTCTAGATTCTGAATTCCAATTCTAGGTGAAACTCTATCCATGGGACAAAGCATCAACCTACATCAAGAAAGTCCCATTCTTCGAGAATATGGTTTGTGTTCAGAGATTCTAGATCTAGATCTAGATCTAGATTTGATTTGATTTGATTTGATTTGAAGATTGATTTGAATTATTGAATCTAGATCTAGATTAAATAGAAAATCAATCTAGCCAAGTCAATTATCTTAAAACTTTAGACAAAAGAGCTCCCGAAACAGAGCGACATTCAAAGTGCCTATGTTTTGTTGAATCTCGGCGACTCTGTCACCACCGATCACATCTCGCCGGCTGGCAATATATCAAAGGTAATAGAAATGATCTAAACAATAACTGAATATCTTTATTTGGTTGGAATAGGAGCAAAGTCTATGAAGTACTGGTACTGTACTTTCTATGAAGTACTGGTACTGTACTTGGCCTTTGAAGTACTGGTACTGTACTTGGCCTATGAAGTACTGGTACTGTACTTGGCCTATGAAGTGCTGGTACTGTACTTTCTATGAAGTACTGGTACTGTACTTGGCCTTTGAAGTACTCGTACTGTACTTGGTCTATGAAGTACTGGTACTGTACTTCATTTTTAAGCTCTAAAGTAAGCTGTAAATCGATTTAATTCTTTCACAGCTTTCTGAAAAGATTTTTCCTTTCAGACCTCTCCAGCTGCTCGCTTTTTGGCATCGAAGGGCCTCTCGCCGAAAGATTTCAACACTTATGGAGCAAGACGAGGAAATGATGAGGTGAATTTATAGAGCTAATAAGATTGTCGCGTGCTTGAACGTGTGTTACTCCTTTCGATTAGTTCAAAATCTCATGAGTAACAATATATACTGTTGGACTTGTACTTAACTAATGATAAAGGAAGACATTACTAAAAAGTTCAACAGTTAAAAGTTCAACAATCGGATAAGACCAATTTTCATTTTCCTTTTCTTAAAACGCAGATCAGATTTGATTTGATTGTTGTTTAAATTTCTATATTATTCTATATTATTCTATATTATCTAATAGCTATAACGAACAAATCAAACAGATACAGAGTGGGTAATAAGATGTCGCGTGCTTGAACGCGTGTTACTCCTCGAGATTAGTTCCAAATCTTATGAGTAACATACCAAAATGTTGCTAAGAGTCTAGGGAATCTAAATCTATGCATGAATTTTTGAGACAATCACTGTGAAAGTTTTTATTGCAATTCTTGTGCCTTTCAAAAAAGGCTTGAGGTCATTCTAAGCAAGAATTACAATAAAAACTTTCACAGTGATTGTCTCGAATTTTCATGCATAGATTTAGATTCCCTAGACTCTTAGCAACATTTTAGTATGTTGCTCATGAGATTTGGAACTTATCTCGAGGAGTAACAGGAGTTCAAGCACGCGACAATCTTATTACCTCTGTAACTTCAAATCTCAACTTCTAGATCATGGCTCGTGGCACTTTCGCAAACATTCGCCTTGTCAATAAGTTGGCCTCAAAGGTGGACACGTTATTTAATATTTATTAGATTAGATTCAATCGATTTATTGTAAAATTATCATAAAATAATCCAGGTTGGACCTCAAACCACCCACGTGCCAAGCGGTGAAGAGTTGGACATCTTTGACGCTGCTGAGAGATATCAAAAGGAGGGACATTCGGTGAGAAAGCCAGAATTTAAAGCTGCTAACTAGATACGAATCTTATTCATCTTTCAAATTGTCATTTACAATTTCAGGTGATCATCCTTGCCGGCAAAGAATACGGATGTGGATCGTCGCGTGATTGGGCTGCTAAGGGACCCTTCCTGCAAGGTGTCAAAGCTGTCATTGCGGAGAGCTTTGAGAGAATTCATCGGTTAGTTCGATTCGTTCTTCTCTGGAATCTAGGTCTTTTGAAAAAGCCGGATTTTTGACAAAAAACGGGTTTCTCTTTGGGAAAAGCTATCATTTGCAAAGCCCAAAAGCCAATTCGATTCTCATGGACCTTCTAGGGACAAAGGCTTAAAATAAACTCTGCCAATAGATTCTACGACCCTTAAAACCCTATGGCACGAATTTTCGACATTAAATCTCCTTAGAGATCATTTACAGAACAAAAGAAAAATCACTGTGTAAAGTGATGAGGCATCCTCTGTGCGCGTGCACAATCGCTTCCGATCTGGCGAGCCGACCGGTATTGGATGCCGACCGGTATTGGATGCCGACCGGTATTGGATGCCGACCGGTATTGGATGCCGACCGGTATTGATGCCGACCGGTATTGATGCCGACCGGTATTGATGCCGACCGGTATTGATGCCGACCGGTATTGATGCCGACCGGTATTGATGCCGACCGGTATTGATGCCGACCGGTATTGATGCCGACCGGTATTGATGCCGACCGGTATTGATGCCGACCGGTATTGGATGCCGACCGGTATTGTGCCGACCGGTATTGATGCCGACCGGTATTGATGCCGACCGGTATTGGATGCCGACCGGTATTGGATGCCGACCGGTATTGGATGCCGACCGGTATTGGATGCCGACCGGTATTGGATGCCGACCGGTATTGGATGCCGACCGGTATTGGATGCCGACCGGTATTGGATGCCGACCGGTATTGGATGCCGACCGGTATTGGATGCCGACCGGTATTGGATGCCGACCGGTATTGGATGCCGACCGGTATTGGTGCCGACCGGTATTGGATGCCGACCGGTATTGGATGCCGACCGGTATTGGATGCCGACCGGTATTGGATGCCGACCGGTATTGGATGCCGACCGGTATTGGATGCCGACCGGTATTGGATGCCGACCGGTATTGGATGCCGACCGGTATTGGATGCCGACCGGTATTGGATGCCGACCGGTATTGGACGATTTGGAGTCCGTGAGCGAGAAGAGCGGCCAGCGACTGATCCCGTTTTGCCGTCGCCAGCCCCAAAACGACCGAACCCTGCGAACCGTCCGAACCCCACCTCGGACAGGCCGCCAGACGGCCAGCGATTACCCAGCCGCACAAAGAACATCCCACCGGTCTACACAAAGATTTCTCCTTTGCTTTGTAGATGGTACAAAAAGATATTCAGCTGTAAATTTGTACCCGGTTGTTTTCGGGGTCGGAGAATCGATTGGAGATATTCATTTTTATTGAATCTTCTCCGGATTGTCTGATTGAATCAAACTCAATCGGAGAACTGAAGAAATTGAGGCGGATAGTTGATTTAATCTTTCTTACCCGATATTGATAAACCGATTTACTAATCCTTTCTACAGAAAACCCTCATCAAAAATTAGATAACTTCATCGTATCATTAACATCGACCTGCCAATAGTTTTGTTTTAGTGAGAATCGATCTTAATTTGGCCGTCTTTTAAAGCGGAAATAAGCTGTTAATGAAAAAGATCCAAAATGGAAAGAAGACCGAATAGAACAGAATCGAGCTTGAAAAGAAAAGATCCGACTTTCCGAGAACGTTGGATTTCTTGAGATCAACCCAGAAAACTTATAAAATTGTTAAAAAATTAGTTTAAATACTCTATTCACTTCAGGCTTACTGTACTTTCAATTATAATCAAAATTATTGTATAATTAACTAGTCAAATTCATCTCGCATGAGGTACAACTCGATAAATGATGTACAATCGAATCTCATCGGAATTCTAGATCGAATCTCATTGGAATGGGCATCGTGCCACTTCAGTTCACTCAGGGACAAAACGCGGACAGTCTTGGACTCACTGGAAAGGTCTGTCGAACCTTTTTGTTTAGCTTTTTAGTAACAGCGATTCTAACGAATACGCTACGGATCCCTGCGAACATCTGGTAGAAATTTGGTAGTCTTTTGTGATTATGGGAATCTGGCAGATGTGGCAGAAAGTCACTAGTATGACTGTGATCCAGAAAGTATTATAGTCGACCAATTTACTACAAAAAATCAATCAAATTGAGCTCGTCTACAATATTACTCTATTCATTTGAAGCTTACGTACAGTAAGCTTAAAAGAAACGTTTGGCTAAAGAAGTACATTCTAGAAAAGATAGGTTTAGCTAAAGAAGTACATTCTTTAGCTAAACCTATCTTTTCTAGTTCTTGAATTCGAAAATTTCAGGAACAATACTCGATTGAGATCCCGGAAACGTTGAAAGCTGGTGACATCCTTAAAGTTCATGTAAGTTATTCGAATTCTTTGGTTTATGAACATGAAAAAACTGTTTGGAAACGATTCTTGTTCGAAATTAGCTTTATATTAGCTTTATTAGCTTTATATTTGAGTTCAGGTTTTAAAGGGTTTTAAAGGGTTTTAAAGGGTTTTAAAGGCTTAATGAAGGCTTTTAAAAGCTTAATGAAGTCGAAAAGTGGATGAAAATGCAACAAAAAAACATTTTTGAACTCTTGAAAATATTAGAATGATTCTTAGCATTTGAACCATAAATACTGTAATAGTACTGCACCGCGATAATGACGGTGCAGAGTGTTGTGTAGTCTAGCTTTGAACGAGTTTTTCTCGACACTGGTTTATGCTACAATGCTCGCTTCGGTATCAAAAAATAGCCCTGAATTTCAGCTATTTTTTGATACCTAAGCGCGCATTGTAGCATAAAGTAGCGCGGAGAACGGGATGTTTAAAGTTAGACTAGGCAACAATCCCGAAAAAACGCGTTTTTCTCGACACTGGTTTATGCTACAATGTGCGTTTAGGTATCAAAAAATAGCTGAAATTCAGGGCTATTTAAGGGCTATCTTTTGACACCGAAAGGAATACTGTAGCATAAACCAGCGCCGAGAACGGGACGTTCAAAGGTAGACTACGCGATTGTACGCCCGTCATTATGGGGATGGCGTTCTATTAAAGTATTTACGGTATTTTATTTTTCTGATTCCAGAGGCTGCCAGAAATTATGGAATAAATAGCTTGCCGTAAATACTGTAATAGTACCCCACCCCCCATAATGACGGTGCGGAGTGTTGTGTAGTCTAGCTTTGAACGAGTTTTTCTCGACACTGGTTTATGCTACAATGCTCGCTTTGGTTTCAAAAAATAGCTGAAATTCAGGGCTATTTTTTGATACCAAAAACGCATTTTTTGAAAGCACAGGAGCTTTGCAAAAAATGAAATACTAAAAAAGTTTTGCGACTACGCGACTGTGCGAGAGGGGTACTATTACAGTATTTACGGTAACTAGTACAATACAACCAGTAAAATCCCAGTACTCTGATGTTCTCACAACTCTCATAGTACCCCTACTATTACAGTATTTACGATGACTAATCCATCTTTTCTAGGTTTCCAATGGTAACTCTTTCGATGTTTTGTGCCGCTTTGATACCGAAGTTGAGCTGACATATTATCGTCACGGTGGAATTCTTCAATACATGATCAGAAAATTGATTCAATGATTGCAAAAATCTTAAAAGTTTCTTACCGTTTTTCTCATTTTCTTCTTTTCATTCACTTATTCGTTCAAGTTGTGATTTTTTCGATTCTTTTAATTTCATTTAGCTCAAAGATGTGATAGATTTCATAAGAATAAAGTATTTAGATTAAAAATGAAACAACAAAACAAACGACTAGAGAAGACATTCGTTTTCTAACTTTCAAGAACTAATCTTCCAATTTTCTTGTTGTTCAAAATGTTCAAAATTTCCAACCTTGGCCTCGATGCACTTCTTCAATCGCTTGCGGAAGTTGCCGACAATGGTCGCGCATTGCTGAACAGTGATTTCAGCCCAGGCCCTCTTCAAAGCGGCTTTCAAAGGATCCACGGAGTGAAATCTCTTGCCAGAGATCTTGTCTTCCAAGATCAACCGAACGGAGAGGTCCAGGGGGTTCAAATCGGGGCTATTCGACGGCCAAATGTCCTTACCCCGGAAACAGCTTTCTCATTGAACGAGTGGGATTTCGACGGATTCGGCATCTGACTTTGTTTGTGTTCTCTGGAGTGACGGCTGTGGTTGGTCGGCCGCTCCTTGGACGGTCCTGATCGTTGCCCCGCTCCTTGAATCGTTCAATGGTTCCATAGAAAGACTTTTTTTGGATATCCGGTGATTCGAACAATCTCCATCGGTATCTTTCCGGCTTTGTGCAACTCAAGTATCACAGTGCGCCTCTTTTTCCTCCTTAATAAAAATTTAAAAAAAAAAATATTTTTTTTTTTTTAAAAAAAAAAAAACTTTTTTTTAAAATTTAAAAAAAAAAAAAATAAACCAAAACCTCTTTTTTGAAATTTTATACAGTCGTTTGAAAAAAAGTGTCAGAACTTTTGCCGCACCCTGTAGAGTGTGTTCCTCTAGAGTAATGCGTTTCTATGGAACGATTGAACGATTCAAGGAGCGGGGCAACGATCAGGACCGTCCAAGGAGCGGCCGACCAACCACAGCCGTCACTCCAGAGAACACAAACAACCGTAATCAAAACGCTAGTTTGCATTCGATCAGCTCGATTTTGATATCATTGACTGAGTATTGTAATTCCTCATTTTTCCTCATTGAATGACACCAAAATCGGGACGAATTAAATGTAAACTAACGGTTTGATTACGGTGATTTTCTCAAATAAATGCATTCTAAAAAAAACGCATTACTCTAGAGGAACACACTCTAGTAAGAACTGTAGTTTGAATACGGTAATTCTCGCGATTTTGCATTTTCAGCGTACAGTTGCTTAGTAGTTACTGTTTTATTGATAATTTGGTGAAAATTCAAAGATAACCTAAACTATTATAGTCATTTGATAGCAAAATACGAGCTTTGATGAAGGGAAACACGTTCAATGAAGAGTATGCGGTCGGATCTCATTGTTTTCCACTTTAGTTGCTTCTTTAGGAAAACAATTGTTCACAGGATGTGGAATTTGTGGGAAAAATATAGCTGAATTTAGGGGATAAGTTGTTCCCAAAAACTTGGGCATAGTGAGGCCTAGACAACCGGACAACCTGGACAACCTAGACAACCGGACAACCTAGACAACCGGACAACCTAGACAACCTAGACAACCTAGACAACCGGACAACCTAGACAACCGGACAACCTAGACAACCTAGACAACCAAAAAGCTCAGTCGCTGACCGCTCCTCACGTTTACAGACTGTGATAAAGAAGACCTTATACGGGTTTGCCAGATGGCGAGCGCACAAAGAGCACGGTTGCTTTGTAGATGGTACAAAAAGATATTCAGTTGTAAATTTATGCCTGAGGGTTTTCGGGATCGGGGAATCGATTGGAGATATTCATTTTATTGAGTCTATCAATTGGAATCTTTTTTGAATCTTTTTATTGTCTTCTGACGGCTCCAGGGCTAATTGAGATTCGATTTTTAACTAGATATCTCTTTTACAGATCTACATACAGATCTACATACAGATCTACATATCTATAGATCTACATATCTACATATCTACAGATCTACAGACATAAAAATCCATATCTACATATACATATCACTTATCTACGTATCCTCATTGAGGATTTGTGTGTTCTTTGTGCAGCCGCGTAATCACTCGTCGTCTAGCGCAGGGCTTTTAAATAACCCCCTTCCCTCTCTCCTCTTCAATCTGTTCTGACCATTTCCGAATCCTCCAAGTTGAACACTGAAGTTAAGCTCAAGCTAAAGCCGAAATCGATCAGATCTCGGAGTGCTTATTCCTCGAGTTGTTCAATGATGTACAGGTAAAGTTGTTTGGAGTCTATGCCTGAAAAACACGTTCCCAGTTCCATGCAAGTGTCTCTTTAAATATCCAAAAACAAAGTGCTTATTTGAAAATTCTCAACTCACTCGATCTCCTGTTCCCATTCCTCTTTCCCTTTCCCCTCTTTCCCTTTTCCCTTCTCAATCCCATTGAGTATCAGCCGCAACGCAATCGACGAAAGGTGAAAGCGTCACGTTTTTCTCTTTTCATCTCTTTTCTTCAAATCAGATCAAAGAGAAAAGAAAGAGAACAAACAAGTTACAGCTGATCGTTTTCTTTGCATTCACTCCATCTCTCATTTCTTTTCTCTTGCAAATATTTGAGGCAACTTCGTAAACAGTTGCGAGTTTCTTTATGCTTCAAGTTCAAGCCTAGTTCTGCCTTTTTGCAAATTGAGATTAAATTCAATGAAACATTTCCTTTGCAATCTTTCGATTTGAGAACTTTTTTCTTTTTTCCTTTCCTTTTTTTTCCTTTTTTTCTTTCAATTTCGCTCCATCTTCCTATAAAATGAAATTAATTTAAAAAAGAAATAGAACAAGCAAAAGAAATAGTTATTACAGGTAGAAAATGAAAAAGAAATCGGCTGTATTCTTCTTTTTTTAGTTTAACCTAGTTCTGATCTATTAGGTTGGCAAAAAAGAAATGCGCGTTTTCGTTAAAAGTTTATTTTATTATAAAAACAAGATAACAATACATTAATCCAAAAGGTATTCGCCATCTGCATCAATGACTTGTCGCCAACGTTCACGCAGAGAATGGATGCCCTTCTTGAAGAACTCGACCGGCTGCGACTCGAAGAAGTTGGACACCGAAATTTGGACCTCGTCACGGTTCTTGAACTTTTTCTCGGCCAAGAAGTGGTGCATTGATCGGAACAGATGGTAGTCGGAAGGCGCCAAGTCTGGGCTGTATGGCGGATGAGGCAGAACTTCCCAGCCCATTTCTTCAATTTTCTGCTGGGTGATTTTTGCGACATGCGGCCGAGCGTTGTCGTGGAGGAATTTTGTCGACGCCGTATCCACGCCTTGACGCCGCAGCGCCTGGTCCACGCGGTCAAATTGGCCTTGGTAGAGGTTCGCCGTAACTGTTTGACCCGAATCCAGAACCTCAAAGTACACCAGGCCTTTACTGTTCCACCAAACACAAAGCATCACCTTTTTTCCGTGGATGTCCGGTTTTGGAGCTTCACCGGGGTCCAACCACTGCCGCTTTCTTGCTGTGTTGCCGTATTGGATCCACTTCTCATCCGACATAACAATGGAGTCGAAAAACCCACTGTTCTTGGCGCGGTGAGTGAGAATTCCGGCGATTGCGATGCGTGTCGCCTTGTTTGCCTCGGATAGCTTATGCGGTACCCATTTTCCGCATCTATTCGTCTTGCCCATGCCATGCAGATGGTTCTCAATGGTGACATGAGTGCAGTCGAACTGTTCTGCCAGGTCGCGAGTGGTTTGGCGTGGATCCGACTCAATGGCTTCCTTCAATGCGTCGTGGTCGATGATTTGAGGTCGACTCCCGTGTTTTTGGTCTTCCAAGCTTTCGTCGCCGTCTCGGAAGCGCAGAAACCATCGTTTACACTGACTTTCGGATAGAGCATCTTCGTCAAACACTTGAGATAGAGCGCCATGAGCTTCAGCAGCCGATTTCCCTTGCTTAAATTCATACCACAAGCAGGCCCGCAAACTAAATTTTTGGTCCGACATTTTCTAAACACTCTTTCTTGCAAAAAAACAAAGTAAACATAGACAAATTATATATCAAACGATGCGCAAGAACACGCTCTTTCCAATAGAATAAACTATTTAAAAAAATCTTTTACTGTGAATAAAATACAAATCAACAAACACGACGCTCATTTCTTTTTTGCCAACCTAATAGATTCTGATCTAGATTCTGATCTAAATTCTGATCTAGATTCTGACCAAATTCTCTAATCCATCTTTTCCAAGTTATCGTTCTTCAATTCCATTTAATATTCAAAAAGACAGGTCAAACCGTTTTCAAGCGATTTATAAATGAAAATAGCTTCAAGATTTTTTAAACATCGCGTCCTTTAAGTCATCACTTTTTTAGATTTTTTATTCAGGAAAGAACATTTGTACATCTTAAAACAATTTCTATTTATCAACTATTTATTTTACCAAAGTCTATTCTATTCCCTTTATCGTATTCTCTCTAATAGTAGTGCACCCAGAGCGTCGTCTAAATTCCTCGAAATCTCGAAAACCGCTTATCAGAACCTATCGATGTGGGGTCGGAAAATGTAGCTGACGATGAGAGCTTGTGGGGGATTTGAGTGTTGAGCTTCTGGGAAACCTTGGAAACCGTAAAATAGTCATCAACTCGGCTCGGCTTGGTGACTACTATTAGAGAAAATACGGTCAATTAGAGAAAATCTTATATTATCTAATTATTAGAGATTAGAGCTTGATTAGATTAGACGTTCGATAAAGATTGTATTCTTAATCGAATCAATTACGGTATTATTCGGATTCTCAAAGTATAGCAACTGGATATAATTCCTTCAAAGACTTCAGTGATTCCAGGCTTTGATTTTACTTTGGAAATATTCAAAGAGCTAGATTTCAATTGAAAATCTTTCACTAAAATAATGCAGAATCAAAACTCAAACCTTTCCCTGCTTCCTTTGCTGGCCGTTTTTCCATTCGCTAATCAATTTGCTTGAAACTCACTCGACTCTCGTATTTTCTCTGAATCTTTTATTTTCTTTCTTTTCTTTCTTTTCTTTCTTTTCATTTCTTTTCCGTGAAATCCTTTGTGCTGTACGCGGACAGAGTTCTTTTTTTACACACCCAAAGGGACAGCTCAATGCCCGGCTATCACGTGGAACCGTGTACAATTTAACAATCTATCACTACTATCACTAGAAAATCTTTTAGATCAAATATTCTTTGATATTCTTGGTAATACTTGTAGTAATTTTTGTAGTGATTTTGAGATCACAGAACGGAATTTTCACACGGATTAGCTAGATGTTTTTACGGTTAATCTAGTTGCAGTTAATCTAGTTAATCCAGTTGCAAAAAGTTCCAGGCAAAAACTCTTTATTATCTTCTATTATTATTATTATTATTATTATTATTATTATTATTATTATTATTATTATTATTATTATACAGAGTGGCGCACAATTACCCGCACTCAGTTCAAATTCACATTTTGAACTGATCTCTAATCGAAATTCATTGTTGTTCATTAAACATGAGCTAGATTTTGGAAATAATAAGTAAAAAAGGAGTAAATGAAGCTGCTTTTCTTTCATTTTAAGCCATTGAAACTAGTTACAAAAGCCAGAAACTCGCTATTCCGCCGCAGGAAACTCCCAAACTTTACAGCCCTCTAGCTAAAGCTTAAAAACTTTTCAGATCAAATCCAGAAGGGGCCCAGAAAGGGAAGGGTCTGTGGTCGACCCCGTCCGATCTGCCAAGTTGAGCAACGTCGGCGCGGGTTAGTCGTGGGTTCGACTCCCATGGGTTCCCCTCCGAGCGCCCCAGCCCGGCCATCGGAGTATCATCGGCTACGACAACTACACTTCTGCCTCAGTAAATGTGGAAGCGGGTTGTGATCTGCCCTAAGTGCGAAGACAGATCAAATCATTATTTTTATTTTTATCAAATCCAGAAAACAAATAGCAGAAGAAAGATTCAATTTAATAATTTAAAAAAAAATTAGGTTGATTGATTGACTCTTCTCTGAGCTGGAGAAGCTGAACTGAGTGCGGGTAATTGTACACCACCCTATAGAGGTATAAAGTAATGGAAAGCTATAGGTGAAACGGTGAAACGCCAATTGTACGCCACCCTGTACAAAACCATTATTACCTTTTAAAAGAAGTGATTTTTAATTGAAAATCCCAAGAGACAAAAGGGATTTTTATCTAAATTTGTTGAAAAATTTTGATTCAATTGAATGATTCAACTTTTTACAGTTTCTTTACAACTCAAAAGCTTAAATAAGTCAGAAATAAATACTTGAACCTGTCAGCTCTGAGCCAAACTGATATTTTAGTTACGATTCCAATGCGGTTCCTTTTTTAATCTAATAGGTTACAATGCGGTTCCAATACGGTTCCAATACGGTTCCTTTTAAGGTTCCAATACGGTTCCTTTTAAGGTTCCAATACGGTTCCAATACGGTTCCAATACGGTTCCTTTTAAGGTTCCAATACGGTTCCTTTTAAGGTTCCAATACGGTTCCAATACGGTTCCAATACGGTTCCTTTTAAGGTTCCAATACGGTTCCTTTTAAGGTTCCAATACGGTTCCTTTTAAGGTTCCAATACGGTTCCAATACGGTTCCAATACGGTTCCTTTTAAGGTTCCAATACGGTTCCAATACGGTTCCAATACGGTTCCTTTTAAGGTTCCAATACGGTTCCAATACGGTTCCAATACAGTCCCAATACGGCTCCAATACGGTTCCAATACGGTTCCAATACGGTTCCAATACGGTTCCTTTTAAGGTTCCAATACGGTTCCAATACGGTTCCAATACAGTCCCAATACGGCTCCAATACGGTTCCAATACGGTTCCAATACGGTTCCTTTTAAGGTTCCAATACGGTTCCAATACGGTTCCAATACAGTCCCAATACGGCTCCAATACGGTTCCAATACGGTTCCAATACGGTTCCAATACGGTTCCAATACGGTTCCAATACGGAAAATGGAAATAATAACAATATTATTGAATGATTAGAGATGGCGGGATATCAAAAGGGATCCACTCTCTTTAACTTAACCCAAATTCTAGTCCACATACGTTTATACCTAGGAACGAATAAACCCAAGATACTTCCATCACTTTCACATTCACTAAGTTTTGAAGATTTGATTTGAAATCATTTTGTAGACAATTTTCCAATCATTTTCTGATCTATTCTTTGACCACAGAAGCTACAAACATTCCCAATTCATTTCCTTTCTTTTTCCATGAAAGAAATCTTTTTCAATTAAATTGTGATATTCTTTTTCTAAAGGACTTCTTTGTACTTTCAAAATCTTTCTGTATCTCGTCAGATTCTCTAAATTCTTGAAAATGCACCTTTCTCTACCCAAATCTCGATTCTCGCTCGTTATCGGAATAAACCAGACAAATCGCTCCACCAACTAAGAACGGTCATGCACCACCAACCACCGAATCAAGAAAGTGCTCTCAGTCTGTCAATCCTTACAGTGTCCGGGCCGGGTGAGTTTTCCCGTTTTGAAATTCTCCTGAAAGCCTGAAATTCTTTTGTTTCTTTTGCCATTTTCCCGCAAAAAAAATGCGAAAAAGGAAAGTCGCACGTTTTTGCCACAATAAAATCGTTTTCATGACCTTGTGCGATGAAAAAAAACTGAAATCTTGAAGAGTTTTTTAAAGACTTCTTGAAAATGTATAGTTTTCAATCAATAGGTTTAAATTCTTAAGATTTTTACAGCTTTTTCATAGTTTTATAAACTCTATGAAATGAATCTGAAATGGCAAAATTTTTCGACCACGGAAGGATTCGAACCTTCAATCTTCTGCTCCGTAGGCAGACGCGTTATCCATTGCGCCACGCGGCCAGATGTTGCGAGCCTCAAACAGGTCATTCAGATGCCTCCAAAGACAAAGCAATCCAGTTTTGGCACTTTTCTGACACCTGTCAATCGCCAGAGGAATCCTCGCTTTGGAAAGGCATCTGAATTGACTTGAGGCTCACCAATTATGGCCGCGTGGCGCAATGGATAACGCGTCTGCCTACGGAGCAGAAGATTGAAGGTTCGAATCCTTCCGTGGTCGAAACCTTTTGCCATTTCAGATTCAAAAGCAAGATTTCTTACTAAAGAATTCGTTCTCTGAAACCCATATACTTTTTCATCCTTTGTCCTTTCCGAATGCCCATTTCTCTCTATTTCCCTACTTTAGAAAGAGAAAACCTTTATCTGCATCGATCTAACCTTTACCGAAAAATTTCTTCCTTTCTTGCTAATTTCCCTTTCTCAATTCTATCTTCTATCTCATTTTTTCGACTTTCAGTAATGTCTCAACCCCGGCCGTTCACTGACCAATCCTGACTATTCAAAAAGGAAAGAAAAAAAGTTATTGGCAAAAATGGAGGCACGAGAAGCAGCACAATATGGAAATCTGCCATTGTTGATACATCTCCTTGACACTGGTTGGTTCATTTGAATTTGAGAAACGAAATGATTACATCCTTTTAATACACTCAATCTACAATTCCCTCAGTACTCATAATTTCAAAACTTCAACAAAACCATCTAGTTTTTCTGTTTTTAAAACTTGTTTTCACTTGTTTCACAAGGCTATTTTCATCTATTGAGTTGGTGAATTGAAAACCGTCGACTATTGTGATATGTGGCAGTTTGAGCACTTTCTTCCAAAGAAACCCATTCTGGTGTCAATGGAAAAGTTGTAGAGAATCAAAAATCAAGCTTAGATCCAAATTTTCAGAACGATTCAGAAACTGGTTTTCAAGAAATGCGAAATTTACGAATTTTCACAAAACTTGCATTTTAAGCGAAACTACTAAGTGTATCTTTTTGGAAATTTGGCTATAAGCCTAATTTTTGATTCTCTACAACTTTTCTATTGACACCAAAATGGGTTTCTTTTGAAGAAAGTGCTCAAACTGGGACATCTCCAGTCCTCGATTTTTGAGTCTCACACTTGTCTCACACACAAACCAAAATCCTACTACGAAAGAGGAATCCGCAAATTGCCTGTAAAATGGGCAGAAGTCGTCAATAATAATGGAAATTATTTGAAATGAATTGATGGTTTCATGTTGAATAGATTTTAGTTCAAAGTTCGGTAGTTTTCAATTCACCAACCTAATATAAAGAAATTACAAACCCTTAAAGAGTTCCCGTGCCAATGTGCAACATTTCGGGCTTATTGAAGTAAAAGCAGAGAATTGTTCCCAATTGATCTTTTTCAATGTATCGTGGACAAGAGTCTCTGCTAAAATCTGAAAGGCGACATGCTACAGTGTTAAGGCACTTTCATATCCTTGGATTTAAATCGAAACTTGGGGCTTGGATGTCCCGAGACCTCAATAACCCCCAAAAGTGGCAGTGCGCCTTTCAATAAATTTATGTTGAATAGATTTTAGTTCAAAGTCCCGCAGTTTTCAATTCACCAACCTAATACAAGTAGATGTACGTACAATATCGTACCTAATACAATGTACGTAAAGAGACAGATTACGGTAGTGAGATAATGTTTTATAGAAGATTTTATAGAAGATTTTATAGAAAATTTTGTGTTGAGCTGGGATTGTTAAGGAATTCATGATAAAATAAAGAGTTTCCTCAAATCGTTATTGTCAAAGGTCATCCACTTGATCATCCTTGGCCATTTTTTGATCTATCTACTTACTTTTCTGAAAATAATCAAAACAATCTCGTGCTTACCTTGTAATTTAAGATTTAAGTAAAGAAAACGACAAAGAAAATTTCAATTAGCCAAATTTAATAGAGATTTTATTTTCTAAAGAGTTTAGTTTTCTAAATTTTTGTGTAATCTTGGTTAGAGTTGCTTCTGAATTTTTTTTAGGTGAATTTTATTTGATTGGGGTGAATGAAATGGCGCTGAGAATAAAAAAAAAGCCTCTTAAACTTCTAAAAAACTTCGTCAAATGATATGCGTTTGATATCAATAGAAAGGTTAACTAATTCTCTATAAAATCGCTTTCAAAAAAGAGAACTCAAGCGCCTCTGCTCAACAAAAAGCTCATTTTTTACATAAAATCTTTAAACTCTCATTTAGAGAAAACGGTTGGAGGGATCTTTCTGAAAATTTGCGAACTTATGTAATTGAGTGTGCTCTATCTTTTTTATATAGACACTAAAGGAGGTTTATGTGGAAGAAACTGGTCAAACGATGACGCTTTGCCATTTTGACTAGCTAGGTTTGGGAGTCGATAAACTCGACGAAAGAAAAGCTTTGTGAAATCTCTCAAAAGTCATTTTCTAGAGAAATAGTAGAGCCTTTTGATGAAACAAAACTTGGATTTAAAGAAGACTTTATACGCCCACAAAAAGTGTCTTCAAAGTTCGACGCCATTTCATTCTCCTCAATCCAATGCAAAAGTTACCCCAAAGCCAAACGATTTCTTGGTTGATTTACGGACTTTTGACCGAACAGCCTTTTGATGACAAAACTTGGAGTTAAAGAAGGCTTTTTGCGTCCAGAAAGTGCTTTGAAAGTCCAGAAGTGTCCAGAAAGTGCCTTTAAAGTTTGAAAAGTTTTTTTTAAAAACCCTTTTCACTATCTCTTGATATTTTTTATTGAAAACTAGGGCTAAACACTGAAATTGATTGAGCAAAAAAATGGGGTTTGCTTTTGAATAAAGTAGAGTAGAAAAAGTAGCCATCTCTAAACATAGCCATCTATGTTCCTTTTTATAGCCATCTCCAAACACACTTTTCCTTATCAAGCATTACATTTTTACATGTAATTCTGTAATTCTGTTTTCATTTCCTGAATCGGTTAACTATTTTCAAACCTAACCCAATCCTGAATGTACTTTTCTTTTCGAAACCCGCCCAAACACTGTAGAGTTCTCTAAAAGTTTTCTAAAAGTTCATTTTCGAGTATTGATTGACCTTGGAATTGAGTGAAAAGGGGAAAATGCCCGTCTAGCTTTCCAGAAGATCATTTTTTCTTTCTCACTTTTTTTTTGGTGAAAAGATTTCACTTTCATTTTCTCTCATCTCTATTTTGAAATGGAAAAAGGCGCGAAAAAGCGAAAAAATGAGAATAACAAGAAATAAAAGAAAAGATCTAGAAAAAGTTGTATTTTATAAAACCCAGATAAAGACTAGAAAGTTTGAACTCAAAAAATGGAAACAAATTCCAGGAGCAGTTTCTCCTTGTTGGACGGACGCGGATGAGTGCTCGTTGCTGCATTGGGCATCAATCAATAATCGATTAGAGGCATTCATTTCATATTTCAGTTCAAAAATCGATACTTTGTGACTATTGTTGGTGAATTGTCCACTGTTGGTCAATTGAATTATCAGTGCCGAAAGAAAGAAATTTCAGTTTCAATTCAGCAGTTCAAGACTGCAAAAAGGTCTCGACCACGGAAGGATTCGAACCTTCAATCTTCTGCTCCGTAGGCAGACGCGTTATCCATTGCGCCACGCGGCCAGATGTTTCGTGCCTCAAACAGTTCATTGATATCCCTTCAATGATAAAGGAGTCCAGCTTTGGCACTTTTCTGACACCTGTCAATCTCTCGAGGGGAGACTCCTGGTTTGAAAAGGCATTTATGGAGACCCTTCGAACATGGCCGCGTGGCGCAATGGATAACGCGTCTGCCTACGGAGCAGAAGATTGAAGGTTCGAATCCTTCCGTGGTCGAAACTTTTGGCATTTCAAATTCTAATTGACAATGAAAATTTCTCACTAAAGAATCGACTTTCTTTGAAACTAATAGTAACCAATTTTGCAGTACAGTACAAGGAAGACACAAGAGCTCAAAAATCATCTTCAGAACCTGCAATTTTATCTTAAACCATGAAATAGATCGATGAGTACATTACAAGTAGATCAGGCAATACTACAATGTAGATATAATTCTAGATATGGTTTTGAATCTTTCAAAATTGTTCTTTTGATTTTTGAATTAGACGAAAATCAGTTTTCTTTACTTTTCTTTGCTTTAGATTTTGCTTTTTGAGTTCTTAGCTAGCTAGAATCATCCGAACATCATCTAAATCGAAATCCCAGAAAAATGAAGCTTATCAAGCTATTGAAATCCCATTTAGGTAGCCGATTATCTGATCTCTCGGGGATGTCGAGTGAACGCAGTTGGCGGTGTCCTTGCCTCGACACCGCTTCATTGGGCCGCTCGACAAGGGCACATTCGAATGGTAGCACTTCTGGTGAGACGCGGCGCTGATCTACTTGTGAGAGATGTTGAAGGTAATGCCATCAGCTTATCCAAAAATACTATCAAACACTACAGGTTTCACCGCACTTCACGTGGCTGCTCAATTCGGATGCACTCCGGTGGTGGCCTACTTGATCGCAATCGGGCAATCGATCGACTGCAGCGATGTCACGCGGATGACCCCATTGATGTGGGCTGCGTATAAAGTTCGTCTTCAACTATAAACTACAAACGTAAACTATAAACGCTTCTAACTTGCTTTAAATCTATTGGATTGATACGATCTATAGCTCAAAAGATAGAGAATCTCAAGCGCTTTCGAATGAACTAAAGTAGACCGAGAAATATTAAAAAGATAGCCTCCAGCACACAAAGCTTAGATAGAAGCACACATAGCACACTCCAGCACACATATAGAAAGCTTAGAGAGTGTCTTGGCTTTGAAATAGTACGCCTATTTCCTGCTTGCATATAAACTACACAATTTTTTTCGTTCCAATGGTTGAACGTTCCAATGGTTCCAATGGTTCCAATGGTTCCAATGGTCCAATGGTCTGTTCTAATCAACAAGTACAAGTAAACAAACACTGCTAGCTGCTAGAGTAATGGATTTAACAATGTCAAATTGTTATTGTGGAATTGTTAAATTGTTATTGTCAACTTTGCTATTTTAGATAAATCAAGTGGATCCTTTGAAACTTCTGCTGACTCTTGGCGCCGATCTTGAAAGAACTGATTTGACCTATAGCAATACGGCACTCCATTGGGCAGCTCTACAAGGCAACTCAACGGCTATCAATTTGTTAGTGAAAGGTAAACACAAGCAACTTGTAAACATTGTAGAACAAGTTCTAAACACAAGCAATCTGTAAACATTGTAGAACAAGTTCTTTAGCTGGAGCTGATCTCACTTGTACAAATCGAGACAACGAAACAGCACTGGATATCGTTTTACGGAGAAATGACATTATTTCGATGAAGATGCTCCAAAGGGAAGCAAGAAGGAAAGGATTCATTTCATCAACGTTTCGACAAAGATTAGCTGAACATCCGGTAAGATTTGGAAGCACATTTTACTGTTTCTAGATACTTTTCTCGTCTATAGACCATAAATCTACAAACTTTCTACTCTCTTTTGAGAAGAAAATGTTTACAATTAGTTAGAAGCAGTTAGCTAGAACCATTCAGGGATTGTCTAAAAGATTTTGACCAAATCTGGTCAGGCAAGCTTAGCTCACAGCCTGGATTGAAGCTTGTAAACCAAGCTGTAAGTGAAGCTGTAAGTGAAGCTGTAAGCCAAGCTGTAAACCAAGCTGTAAGTCAAGCTGTAAGTCAAGCCGTAAGCTAAGCTGTAAGCCAAGCTGTAAGTGAAGCTGTAAGTCAAGCTGTAAGCCAAGCTGTAAGCCAAGCTGTAAACCAAGCAGTAAGTCAAGCTCTAAGCTAAGCTGTAAGCCAAGCTTTAAGTCAAACTTGGCTCTAGACTTTTATGGACCAAAGCCAGAGAAAGCAAGGCTGACAAACTATCAAAAGATTAAATGAATTGGATCAAATTGAAATTTCCTAGATAACCGCTCCTCGTGCCCTGTGCATTCTACCCTTTTTCATCTACTTAATCATTGCAACAATCGCCCATCTCAACGTTGAAACTCCTCTGAAATTAATGGCCGTTGTCGCCTTTGCTCTTCTCCTCAAAATGTCTTTACCGTTTGTGCTGAATGCTGAATCTTTTTAAAAGAATCTTTTTCAGAAAATTCGCCTCCGATTACTTTAATTCAATACTGCCTGTTAGTGTTGCTCTTTCCACAAAGGTCACTATCATTCTCACGTGGTTCTTCTATCTTCAAGCGATCTCATCTTGGTGAGTGAGTTTGGATATCCCTCGTATGCTTGGATATCCTTGGTAATAAAGTATTCAGTGTCAAGACTGAATATCTTGATCTCAACCTAAGCTAATGTTAGCTGAATGGGAACCGAAACTGAAAGGAACCAAAGCTTAACAGCAGATCACTGTAGCGCAGTCGAGAGCGTGCTTGTCTATGACCCGCTCGATCCCCTTAGCTCCTGGTTCGATTCCAAACCGGATTTCTTTCGGTTCCCTTTCACTTTCTGCTCTAATACCGATTCAACTATCGTTCCAACTGAACATTAATTGCATCAAGACTTTTTGGGATACTTTTCTTGAAAGATAATTCTTTTCGATTGAATATCTAACTAGAGTAGCATACTTTGAGTGAGCCTTAAGCTTTTCCCTTCAACTCTCTTTTTAGGTACATGCAAATTGCGTTCACTGTCATCATTTTCGTTGTTCCGTTCATTTTCATCTCGTTATGCTACTCGGATCCCGGATTTATTCAACCAAACTATAAAGAAAGGTAAATATTGGGTTGGTGAATTGAAAACTGTGAGCTATTGTCATATGTGACAGTTTGAGCACTTTCTACAAAAGAAACCCATTTTGGTGTCAATGGAAAAGTTGTAGAGAATCAAAAATTAAGCTTATATCCAAATTTTCAAAACGATTCAAAAACTGGTTTTCAAGAAATGCCAAATTTACGAATTTTCACAAAACTTGCATTTTAAGCAAAACTACTAAGTGTATCTTTTTGGAAATTTGGCTATAAGGCTAATTTTTGATTCGCTACAACTTTTCCATTGACACCAAAATGGGTTCCTTTTGAAGAAAGTGCTCAAACTGGGACATCTCCAGTCCTCCATCTTTGAGTCTCACACTTGTCTCACACACAAACCAAAATCCTACTACGAAAGAGGAATCCGCAAATTGCCTGTAAAATGGGCAGAAGTCGTCAATAATAATGGAAATTATTTGGAATGAATTGATGGTTTTATGTTGAATTAATTTTAGTTCAAAGTCCCGCAGTTTTCAATTCACCAACCCAATACAACTAACAAATATTCCAATTTTCCAAAATCGAATCCAATTTCAGATGTGCTTCGATAATTCGAATAGCTGAGGGTCATGGGTCAAATAATGATGTTTTCTGTCCATCATGTTTAATCTTTCGAGCCCCACGGAGTAAGCATTGTGCCCGATGTGATCGATGTGTGAAACGGTTTGTTTTCTAATTCATTTAAACTCAACTTTCTTCAATTAAGAAGATATAAGATATATATATAGTTAAAAATAGAACCTTTACTTAACCCTGGAGAAGCTTAAATGGAAAAGAATCGAGATTAAAACTCGAGTTCCAGCTGGTAGACTCATAAGGGAGGATCAGCTGGCTGAGCCGGTCAAATGACAAGCAACTGGTACCATTCAACGCAGAATTTCACGCTGATTCCGAATATATATTCCGTTTTTGCTGAACGTTATTCTGGCAGGTGTTATAAACGGCTAAAGTTGACTTAGGACTTGAAAAATATGGGTTTTGGGTCTTAGGTCCCTTCTGCAATTCTAGTGGCTGAGCTGGCTTCAATTCTAGTAGGTCGTGGTCGAGCGGTAGAGCGGTAAAGCGTCTGTTTCCGACCAAAGATCTCTGGTTCGAGTCCCAGTATAGGATTTCTTTGGTACAGGCCAGCTCAGCCAGTTGACCAGCTCAGCCAGTTGATCTTCCCGTCAATAAAATGAATAAAAGCAAAACCCATTACATAACAATGATGAAAATCTAATGATAATTCAAATAAATAAATAAATTTTGTGATTTAAATTTCAGTTTCGATCACCATTGTCCGTGGGTTTCGAATTGTATTGCTCGAGAGAATCACCGAACATTTCTTCTCTATCTCATTCTTTTAGTCGCCTCCACAGCACTCTATTCGTTCTCCGTCTTGATCTGTAAGTATTGCAAAACGAAACTTAGAATCTCATTAGCTCTACAGGGTGCGTAAAAAAGTTCCCGTACTTGTATTGCATTTTTGGTAATTTTAGATAAAAGATACGATTTTAAAAGTAAGAAATTCGAATTCCTCGTGAAAAAGTCATTTAGAAAACGTTTCTGGTTAATTTATAAGTGTAACACTATGTGACAAGTGATTGAGACAAGTGATTGAGAAGAGGGTCCGCTTAGGGGTGCTTTGGTCCCACAGTTACAGGGCACAGTTACAGGGCACAGTTACAGGGCACAGTTACAGGGCACAGTTACAGGGCACAGTTACAGGGCACAGTTGCGGGCAGTTACAGGGCACAGTTACAGGGCACAGTTACAGGGCACAGTTCAGGGGCACAGTTGCAGGACGCAGTTAGGGCACAGTTACAGGGCACAGTTACAGGGCACAGTTACAGGGCACAGTTACAGGGCGCAGTTACAGGGCACAGTTACAGGGCACAGTTGCAGGGCACAGTTGCAGGGCGCAGTTACAGGGCACAGTTACAGGGCACAGTTACAGGGTACAGTTACAGGGCACTGTTACAGTCATTTCCTTTGATATAAATTTGTATGGGAAAACCAAGTTCTAACCTGACTTCCGACTCGGTCGTTGACCAAAACTTTCTACACCCAATATAAAAAATGTCACATTTTATGTCTAGTTTTCGAGAAACATCTTGGCCCTTGAAAATCTTTTGATCCATAAAAGTTACAGGCCTGAAGCCCCAAAAAAAAATGCGCGACCAAAGCGCCCCTGAGCGGACCCTCTTCTCAATCACTTGTCTTAAATAGTTTTGCACTTATAAATTAACCAGAAACGTTTTCTAAATCAGTTTTTCGCGAGGAATTCGAATTCCTTACTTTTAAAATCGTATCTTTTATCTAAAATTACCAAAAATGCAATACAAGTACGGGAACTTTTTTTACGCACCCTGTATACCATCAAGTTCTACTTCTAATTTCCACCTTTCCTTTCAGATTTCCAACAACTTTGCGGGAACACGATAGAGGAGATTTTGGAGTGCAATCAGTGGATCGTTTTCACGTTGATCATTGCTGTTTGTGTGCTTGTGTGGACGGGTGCGATGCTTGTCTTGCAATTCTATCAAATTATGCTCAACGTGACGACAAATGAGCGGTAAAACAGAGAAAGAAATGGGGGAAATATTGAGAATTCTTTAGATTAAACATTGATCGATACCCACATATCGTTTATGGATCAACAAAATTGCACATAAAGAGCCCATACTCGTGAGTTTTTTTTAGTAATTGATAATGAAACTTTGTCTTGTCAGCTCTTGGAATCTTGGAGTCTTTTAGAGTCAAACGAATTTTATTTATGCTAATAAAAAACTCTAATCTTTAATTAAAGCCTCTATTTTAGGGTTTTCTATCAGAAATTTGTTTTTAGCTTATAACTGGAGGTGTAATTGCTAAAGTTAGTAAACGATAATCTGAAGGAATTTTGTGAAAAATTCAATACCAAAGTAAAGAAGCGAAGAAATTGGCAAGAAAAAGTGGATTCCGGGATTGAACCCTTGACCTTTTGCTTTTCGGGAAATTGCTCTAACTATTGAGCTATCCGGTACCTTAACAAGAGAAAGAGGGAACGACAAGAGGGAAAGTAGAAAGGAAGAAAGAAAGAAGACGAATTCCCAAGCATGCAAAACTTGCTGCTCTAATTGCTAATGGTTCATTCGCATCTGTATAAGCGATATAAATCAAGATTTGAGCATGAGCTTGAGCTATCCGGTACCTTAACTTGACAAGAGAAAGAGGGGAAGACAAGGCGAATGGAGAAAGGATTCCGGATTGGGGATTGAACCCTCTATCTTTTGCTTTCCGGGAAATTGCTCTAACCATTGACGGTACCTTAACTTGACAAGAGAAAGAGGGGAATGAAGAAAGGGAAGAAAGAAAGAAGGCGGATGAAGAAAGGAAGAATGAAAGAAGGTGGATGGAGAAAGGAAGAAGGAAAGAAGGTGGATGGAGAAAGGAAGAAAGAAGATCAGATTGATCTGACATTGATTGCGAGAGCGAGTGTGTTTGTGTAAGAGCAAGTACTTTGTGCTTGTGCAGACTCAAATTTCCACATCGTCTAGTGCTATGCCAATCCAATTACGTGTTACTGTTTTGATTTTAAATCTATTCTATGATTTATAAAGTTGTCTCTAATTTGAATTCCCTGCTAGCTTGTTTCAGCTTTCAAAATTCTCCACTAAACTTGAATTTCCAGGCAAACTTGCACTCAAAACGTTCGGGAGTTTGTTTTCGCCGATCGCGAGTTGCTTCAATGAAAAAAAAAATGTATATTTCTTCACAGATTGCATAGAAAATTGAGATTTCATTTGCTAGAATCACTATAGATTTATTAAGCTTCAAATTTTGCCGGTTATCAAACATTTGATAAGTCCCATTCTTTTCCCATTAGCAATCTAACTTTAAACTCAAATTTCTTGGCTTTGTGGTGTTCAATTTCAATGTTTTTATTGTCATTAGATGCGCCAAATCTTTCTCTATCGATTAATATAAAAACTATTTAAATTGAACGCCCCAAAGCCAAGATATTTGAGCTTAAAGTTAGGCTGCCAATGGGAAAATGGACGGGGAGATTGTTGGACCTTTTATATAGATTGCCAATGGGAAAATAGACGGGGCTATTGTGGGACCTTTTATACACGAAGCTCCGCCCCTTTTCCAATTAGCAATCTAACTTTAAACTCAAATATCTCGGTGTTGGGCTGTTTAATTTCAATATTCTTGGTATCACTAGATGCGCCAAGTCTTTCTCTATCGATTGGTCGAAAAGCTTTTTAAATTGAACAGCCCAAGATGAAGAAATTTGAGCTTAAAGTTCGATTGCTAATGGAAAAAGGGGCGGGGCCTCGCGTATAAAAGGCCCCACAATTGCCCCGCCCCTTTTCCCATTAGCAATCTAACTTTAAGCGCAAATTTCTTGGCTTTGGGGTGTCCAATTTAAATAGCTTTTCTACCAATCGATAGAGAAAGACTTGACGCATTTAATGATATTAAAAATATTTAAATTGAACAGCCCAAGACGAAGAAATTTGAGCTCAAAGTTAGATTGCCAATGCTTAGAAGGCCTATCAAATGTTTAAATCATTTTTGCCATTCTATATTTCCATTGTATCTCTTTCATCACTCAAAAAATGAAACTCGGTGCGTTATGTGCATAATTTTCTTTTCATTATAGGCTTTTTGAATTTCATGAAATTAGTAATCAATCTAAATCTGTATACTTTGTGCTCGTGTAAACGAATCCTTTCTAACGAGATGTTCACTTTGCCAGATAGTGTGCGTTTAAGAAAGCAAAGTCCTTCACACACGTAGAAACGTATGTCTTCTGGCGCATTAGCTTGCTAGAGATCCAGTGGGCCAGATAGTGTTCGTTTAAGCGAGCAAAGTACTTTCACCCTCATAGAAACGTACTCCTTCTGGCACACTAGCTTGCTACACATTCAGTGAGCCAGTTAGTGTGCGTTTAAGAAAGCAAAGTCCTTCACACACGTAGAAACGTATGTCTTCTGGCGCATTAGCTTGCTAGAGATCCAGTGAGCCAGAAAGTTTTCGTTTAAGCAAGCCAAGTCCTTCACCCTCATAGAAACGTACTTCTTCTGGCACACTAGCTTGCTACACATTCAGTGGGCTAGAAAGTGTGCGTTTAAGCAAGCAAAGTAGTACAAAGCAAAGTAGCAAAGTGTACTTGTCAAAAACTCATCTTTCCTGGCAAACTCGTTCCTTTCAGTGTGCCAGAAAACGCGCGTTTATACAAGCACATAACACAGGATCAATCGCGTCTTGTTCTTTACACTTTTCACAAACGCATACTCTCTGGCACACTTGTAAAAAACCAGTGTGCTAGAAAGTAAGCGTTTGACATGAAATTCTCTTAACATTCTATTTCTGAGATCAAAAGCTCACGAGTTATTGTGTTTCTTTTTCGGTTGTGATTATTTAAATAAGTATAAATAAAAGTTATATTTTACCAATCGACACTCGCTTTTACGTATTCTTTAAAGTTTTTCTCGTGTTTCTCCTCAGGGAATTCGAGCTGAAAGGATTTTTTAAAAAAATTTACCTACATTTAGCTTACTTGAAGATTGAGATACCCTAAGTCATAGTGTTTTTTCGGTTTTGATCCATAGCTCACATAATCTTGTGGGATGTGGTAGTTGAATTTCCGATAGCCATTCTAAAATCAGCTTTGTTACCATAGTAAAGTAAAGAATAACAAAGAAAAATGGAAAAATGGAAAAAAAAATAAGTGGAGAGGGATTGAACTCTCCACTTATTTCCTCTAAGCACATGATGCTGACCACTAAGCCATCCATTTGGTCTATTGTTGGCAGAGAAGAAAGAGCAGATACAAGGGGAAGAGAAGGGGGAAGAGAAGGGGGAAGGGAAGGAAGGGAAGGGAAGGGAAGGGAAGGGAAGGGAAGGGAAGGGAAGGGAAGGGAGGGAGGGAAGGGAAGGGAAGGGAAGGGAAGGGAAGGGAAGGGAAGGGAAGGGAAGGGAAGGGAAGGGAAGGGAAGGGGAAGGGAAGGGAAGGGAAGGGAAGGGAAGGGAAGGGAAGGGAAGGGAAGGGGAAGGGAAGGGGAAGGGAAGGAAGGAAGGGAAGGGAAGGGAAGGGAAGGGAAGGGAAGGAAGGAAGGGAAGGGAAGGGAAGGGAAGGGAAGGGAAGGGAAGGGAAGGGAAGGGAAGGGAAGGGAAGGGGAAGGGAAGGGAAGGGAAGGGAAGGGAGGGGAAGGGAAGGGAAGGGAAGGGAAGAGATGGGAAGAGAGGGGAAGAGAGGGGAAGAGAGGGGAAGAAGGGAAGAGCAGGTACAAGGGGAAGAGAGGGGAAGAGAGGGGAAGAGAGAGGAAGAAAGAAGGAAGAAAAGAAGGAAGGAAGTAAGGTACTGTAATCGATTGTTTCTTGTGTTTTCAAAACATTGCTCTTTAAAAAAGTAACCGTACTCCAAGCTAGTCTTTTTCAATGTTCGAAAAAGTCTTTCATAGTTTTAAATCGAAATTTTGAGTATTCTAGAAGAAAACTATCATGAAAACATAATGAAATCTCTTAAAATAAGGCTAAACTTACTATTTACATCAAAAAGTACAATGAAAGTACAAGGACAAGTAAAAAGGATAAGTACAAGTACAAGTACAAGTGGAAAGTACAAGTACAAGTACAAGCACAAGTACAAAAGTACGATAGCTTTTGCGTACTTGCGTAGAAATCGATTGCTGAGTATGTAAATGTAATAATTTTGGTTCTACTAGCTTTAATGCTTTGAAAAAAATCACCTTTTTCACTTTCTCTTTATCTTCATCACAACTATGATAGAAAGTAAGCGTTCCATCAATCGTTGTCTCATTTAACGGAAAGCCATTCGTGTTCCCGTCAATATGAAACGATCCATCGACACCGGTTAACTTTTCGTCAAGGATTTGATTTAAATCTAAGTATTTTCAAATTATAACTTTATTTATCTTATATTATCTACAGGGTGACACAAAAATTTTCAGCTTCTTAACTCCTTTTTAGCTTTTTACCGTTTATGGACTACTATTAAAAAACTTAAAGATTAGTTTTAGTCCTAATGAGAAACAGAAGGTTTTGACAGTGAGGGGATTCGAACTAGAGACCCTGGCCCAATGGGACTGCGACGGGCAAGCACACCACTACACTATTCGGTTGCCATGGCGTTTGGACAGTAATTTAGTGTCATACCACGGCGGTAGCACACTATCCAAAAATACACTTAACAAACTTGCTGTGCTGTAGAAACGCGCTCTCCCGACTACTCTACGGCGCACGTCATGCGGTTTGTCGGTAGGCGTTTTTACGGCTTTATAGGGCCTCCGGGGTAGATTTGACTACAGATTCGAAATCAGCGTGGAAAACTGGTCTAGATGAGCTACGTCTAGTTTCGAAACCCGGTGATAGCTCAGTGAAAGTCCCTTGTTAGTAGGAATTGGTAAACTTTTTTTGAATTTTTTTTAAAATTACTTTAAATTTGTCCGTTTTCGACATGTTTTACCTAAACCTATTTTATATTTGTCTTTAAGGAAGCGGCCGAAATCCGTTTTCCATTTTCCCTTTCTTATTTTTTTATATTTATATTATAAAAGGGGGAAAGAGCCAAACCTTGTTCAGGTAGATTTTTACCGTATCTTATTTAAATCTTCTAGTATAAATTAAAGCACTAAAGTTGAACTTAACAAAATAACTAAAGTAAAGTTCTTTAATTGATTTGACAGCAAAAAAAATTGATTCTGAAATCTACCGTCTTTTTTGCTTTGTGCCACGCGGAAAAGTCGGATGATCACTCCTTCAATGGGCTTTTTTCCGCAAAGTAGAACTCCCTAAACCTTGATTAGCATTAAATCATCCATTACTTTATATCTAAGAATTTTAAAATAGAAAAAATTCTAATAGTTTCTTGAACTAATTCTTTTTTCATATGATTTTCGTTCGATTTTTTGGTTTTGTTCGAATGAATCGAATGAATTGAATGAATTGAATGAATCGAATGAATCGAATGAATCGAATGAATCGAATGAATCGAATGAATCGAATATGAAATAATGAACCAAATCTAGAGAGATAAGGAACCAGATCTAGAGAGATAAGGAACCAAGTTTAGAGATATAAGGAACCAAATTTAGAGATAAGCAACCAAATTCAAATAGATAAGGAACCAAATTTAGAGGGATAAGGAACCAAGTTTAGAGAGATATGGAACCAAATTTGTCGAAATAATGAACCAAATTTAGAGAGATAAGGAACAGTCTACTCTCAATGCTACAGTCACCGGATCTTGAAAAGAATCTCGAAAAATCGGTTTAGATCGAGACAACATCCTGAAGCCATTGGTTGAAGTCTTCATCTGGCTGGAGTAGCTTTTCACTAAGCTCCAACAGCATCATGTATTGCAGAGGGTTGGTCATCTTTCCACTTTGTGCGAAAGTGGGGGAGAAGCTCTGTTTTTGATCCCCGAGAAAACCAAATGAAGACAAACGTTGTTGGGTTGAATGTTTGCGTTTACGCGTTAGATAAGGAACCAAATTAAGAGAGAAAAGGAACCAAATTTAGAGAGATAAGCAACCAGATCTAGAGAGATAAGGAACCAAATTTGTTGAAATAATGAACCAAATTTAGAGAGATCTGGAACCAAATTTAGTTTTTTTTTCGATTCATTCGATTTCGATAATGAAAAAACCCTCAATTTCACTTAATTCTTGATTTTCTTAAAATAATAGAAAGAAAAACAAGAATTCTATAAAATCCATGCAGTTTCTAAATGCAAATTATCTTTAAATTTATAAAAAGATACGTTTGAAAGTTAAATAATGCGAAATTGAATCATTTAAACACTCAAAATAAGCCAACTTTTCCTCCAACAGCTCTTTTTGCGATCGCATCTGCTGCTGGTTGAGCTGCTGCGCTATCAGTAAAATAAAAGAGTAAAAGAAAATTGAATAGAACGATTAAGCATTGCATTTTTGGAGTAAACACCTGTAAAAAGTAAAAATCGGTTTTGTTTCCCAGATTTTATCAGCTTTTTTTCCTGAGCTTTTCCTGAGCCAATACGGAAAAGAAAAATTTCTTTGAGCCGTCAATTCCTTATCGATATTTAAAAGTTTACAATCAAAGAAAAACAAGAATTCTATAAAATCCATGCAGTTTCTAAATGCAAATTGCGTTTCTACAATCAAAGAAAACAAATCAATAAAATGAAATCAAAGAAATGAAATGAAATCAAAGAAATTAAAGGGAGGGGTATTAATCGCGGCCGGGTGACGATAAAAATTTTTTTACGGCAACCACCTGTTTTTTTTGTTTTAATATCGCTGATTTTATTATAAAAAGAATAAAAATCACCCGGCTAGAGTGATTTGATGGGTTTACAAATTTTTGGAGATGCTGCAAGGCTTGGAGAAAAACAAGATCGTCACTCATCAGACACCTCAGCACAGTCTAGATCGATTGAGTTTTAGTTGCAGATAAATTTAAAAACAAAATAAAAAGCACAAAAAGCAATAAAAATAAATTGTTAATCTATAATTCTTCCTCTTGCTCACTTTCATCTTCGCTCAAGTACAGCAGTTCGGCTCAAGTACAGCAGTACAAATCGGCTTCCTATCTTATCAATTTCCAGCGCATCTTCACCAAAAGTGACTGGATCTCCTCCATCGTAGGACGTCTTCAGCGCTTTGATTGACACAATTAGATCTTTTTTCATTTGTGGTCGCTTATGGTTTTAGTTTTCTCAAATAGGGGCCTTTTAGCTGAGGTGTCTGATGAGTGACGATCTTGTTTTCCTCCAAGCCTTGCAGTGTCTCCAAAAATTTGTAAACGCATCAAATCACTCTAGCCGGGTGATTTTTATTCTTTTTATAATAAAATCAGTGATATTAAAACAAAAAAAACAGGTGGTTGCCGTAAAAAAATTTTTATCGTCACCCGGCCGCGATTAATACCCCCCCTTTAAAGAGTTTCTTCAAAATCTTTGAATAGTTTTCCCTTTCCATTACAAAACTTTAGTCTAATTCTGTCCAAAAACAAATTTACATGTATTCTCAAAGCTTTTTGAGCAAGCTTGGCAAAAGCTAGACGTCGAAAAGATTGCTTTACATAAAGATAAACTGTTAAACCTTTAAATCCCTATAGAAACTTACAGTACATTATACAGGGTGGCTGAAAATGATCATTTTGCATTCAAAATTTTTAGAGAAAAATACCATTAAACAATTCTTAGATCAAATCGTCAATTGATGGCTCTGTTCTTTTAAACGATTCAAATTTTCCCCTGACACTTGCATTATTCGGATTTATCCTAGTCTTTGCGATGAGGTTGATCTTTTAAATATTGGGTTGTCCAGTTATGAATGCGCGTTTTTACTATTTTGTAAATTTCTCAAGATACCGAACAGATGTAGATGAGTGTTATACAGGGTGGCTGAAAATTACGTGCGCGCAGCATCTGACATAGTTTTAAACAATGTCTAAAGCATTACTACTCATCTTTTTGTGTTTTAATATTCTTTTTATCGTTGTCTATTAATTTTTTGTTAAAAAAAGTTGCTTTCTAGGTCATGACAAGCGACTCCGTCCAAATTTAGAGAGATAAGGAACCAAATTTAGAGGGAGAAGGATAGTCGAAGGATAGTCGGGACGCAATCGCAAAGCTGGCGACGAGCGGCATGAAGAACCCGTCGATCGCATCGAGGCTTGGGGTGGCTCTGAGGACCGTCCAGAAGATCGTAAAGTAACGGAAAAATGAGGGGGAGGCCAAGCCCGTAAGAGGACGGAAGAGGACCGTTAACACCCGAAAGATACGTGGGATCATCAAGAGGATATTTATTATAATGTTTTTCTTTGTATTACAAAATTCCAGACGTCTCATTCTGTCCAAATCGTGTTTACGTGTATTTCCAAAGCTTCGCAGTAATCTTTGGCAAAAGCTAGACGTCTAAAAGATTGCTTTTCACACAGATTATCCAAAAGTAATGCGATAATTAGTGGCACGATTTGTTGAGTGATGAGTTTGAAGTTCTGTCTTTTGGTTGGTAAGGGGAGGCGTGGAAGTGAATTGAGAACAGAAATGAGATATCATTTAGGCTTACTACAGGGTGCTCAAAATTACCCGAACCAAGCCAGATCAGCTTTTTCTCTTCTCTTTGATTAAATTTGATTAGACAGGACAATCTCGAGAAGCTTCAATAGAAATAGATTCAATAGAATAGCTCCAATCGATTCCCCAATCTTGAAAACCCTTGGCACAAATTTACAGCTGAATACCTTTTGCCATCTACCAACAAACGAGAAATCCTTTCTAAATGGCAAAGTGTTCTCTATACGGCCGCGTAATCGCTCGCCTTCTGGCATATCCTCTTGATAGATAGGTGTTCCGTTTAACGAGAAGGATCGCTGAGGGACTCTGCTGGCCTGGGCTTGCTTTGATGTTTTAAGCGTCACTATGTTCAAGCAGAATACGAAAGAGGCCGAAACGGAAAAGAGAAACTTTTGAGGTCAATTTTTCCCTTAAATTTGGCTATACTATTCTACAAGTTCTAAATCTTCTTAAACAAAGGTTTCAGTGAGAAAATAGAGCTTCCAAAAGATAGATCATTCCAATCACGATCACAGATCAACCAAAAATATTGCAACTTATAAAAGCTAGCTCATTGAGTTCATTTGCATCAGAGATTACTTTCAAAATTTGTTTTTTTTGAACAAAATTTTATTTTTGAAGCTCTCAAATTCCGTAAAGAGCTCGTAAAAATCAGTTCTCTTCCTTGTCTTATCTAAAATCAAAAGCAATTCTCAAAAATTCTCAAATCAGAAGCCTATATTGTTTTGATAATAGAAATGCTTTTTGTGGTGTAAAAATCGGATCAAATGAAAATGTTTTCTGCTTTTCTTTCGTTCATTCTATTTTCTTTTGCAAAGGCTCAAAATTATCAGGTTTATTAAAATAGCTGAAATTGCTGAAATAGCTGAAGCTGAAGCTGAAATAGCTGAAGCTGAAAGCTGAAAGCTGAAGCTGAAAGCTAAAAGCTGAAGCTGAAATAGCTGAAGCTGACAGCTGGAATAGCTGAAGCTGAAAGCTGGAATAGCTGAAGCTGAAAGCTGAAATAGCTGAAGCTGAAATAGCTGAAGCTGAAAGCTGAAAGCTGGAATAGCTGAAGCTGAAAAACTTGACAAATTTTAGCCAACTTGGGATTCACTCGACTCACGACCGCTTCCTGATTGGTATGATGAGGGAAAATTCGGGATTTTCATGCATTGGGGCGCTTATTCGTCACCGGCTTTCAGGTCAGTGTAAAAATTTAGCTTTTAAATTCTGTTTTTAACTTCTGTTTTTGAATTCAGCTTTTAAATTCTGTTTTTAAAGCATTTTAAAGAAAGTAGTAGACAAATTGGCTTTGATGAATGCCTTTAAACTATTCTTTAGAAGCGAATGGCTTTGGTATTATTGGAAAGGAAAGAATGAGCCGGATGTGCTTGAATATATTCGATCCAACTATCCACCAAGGACAACTTATGCGGATTTTGTGAAAATGGTATCACATTAGCATTGATACAATAAAAATAATGTTTTCAGTTTAAAGGTGAATTCTTTGACGCTGATATGTTTCGGGAAATTGTTGAGGCTTCGGGAGCAAAGTGAGTTGAAAAAGGAATAGAAAAAGCTTACTTATCTTGGCTAAAAGCTTGAATTAGTAGCAATGCTTCAAAGCAAATATAGATACTGGAGAAAGGAACAGGAAAAGCTTACTTATCTTTACTTAAAGCTTGAATTAGATCTTGATCCTCAAGCTTCAAAATCAACTTCAGATACTTTGTGTTTACCACAAAACACCATGAAGGGTTCACAATGTGGCCATCGAGTGTTTCATGGAATTGGAATTCGATGAACATCGGTCCAAAGAGAGATATTGTTGGTGAGTGAATGAGAGATGAATCGATTGTTGAAAGATTGACAAACGATTGTCGAACGATGGTCAAACGGTTGTTGAATTGATTGGCGAACGATTGTCGAACGATTGTCGAATTGATTGTCGAACGATCGTTGAATTGATTGTCGAATTGATTGCCGAACGATTGTCGAATGGTTGTTGAATCGATTGTCGAACGATTGTCGAACGATTGACAAACGATTGACGAACGATTGACAAACGATTGACGAATTGGTTGTTGAACGATTGTCGAACGATTGACAAACGATTGACGAACGATTGTCCAAACGATTGTCGAACGATTATCGAATTGGTTGTCAAACGATTGTCAAACGATTGTCAAACGATTGACGAATCGATTGTCGAATTAATTGTCCAATCCATTGTCGAATTGGTTGTCCAATTGATTGTCCAATTGACTGTCAAACGATTGTCAAGCGATTGCCAAATCCATTGCCAAATCCATTCTATCCATCCAAATCTATTGTTGAATCCATTCTCAAATCAATCATCACATCTCGTTTTAGGTGAATTGCAGAAAGCCTTTTCCAAATCAGATGTCCATTTTGGGCTCTACTACTCGCTATTTGAATGGTATCATCCACTCTTTGATCAAGATTTAGCGAAGAACACAACAGAATATCGAGATGTAAGGAATGAGCAAGCTATTGAATTCTTCTTTGAATATTCCTAGAGCCAGATCAGATCAGCCTGTAAGCCAGATCAGATTTCTTACAGTCAAACAACTATTCGTTCAGATAATTTCATTTTTGAGTTCAAAATTGAAAAGATGAAGGTCAAGCCTGGCTTTTGATCTGTTCTGGCAGCATAATATAATGACTTTTCTTGTTTTGAACAGTGATTGAACGTTTGCCAATTCCAGAAGATATCTTTTCCTCAACTTCTCGACATTGTCAACAAATATCAACCGGATATTTTGTGGGGTGATGGAGATTGGGGATTGGATGAAAACTATTGGAAGACAAAGGAGTTTATCACCTGGTTGTATAACGAGAGGTCGATTTTATAAGGAATTAA